AAGAAAATTGTAGAATCATGAACATTTAAATACGTATTATAAGGATTACTCAAAAACGACTGGTCAGATCTTGATCAAATTTTTAATTTAAAAGATAAAAAGGACAGAATTTTTGAATTTTTTTTATTAATTTATCTTCACTATTTGCCTATATTACTTATTCTGAATCTTCTCTACAAATTTTGGCCGGTTATTGCAAAATAATGCTGTATACCCGAATGAGTGCCTATTTTTCTCTTTCAGGCAAACTCTGATCTTTCTAGTACACGTGAATTGATAGACTAAAAATTATTCACACAAGAACTTTCACTTCAAAATATATGTTAATTAAACAGTACTACGTTTCCACATAAATATTTAAGTAATCCCGTACAATTTGACACCACAAAGACTTGAGATATACAGTGTAACCTTGATATAAAGATTTTCTCAATTTAACATAGTTTTCGAAATCTCTTGGAATTTCCCGTAAGAGCTAATGCAAAATATACTTCTACATTACGAATACATTTATTAGAAACCCCTTTATAAAACGAAGTTTTAATAATTGCAGTAGATATATAGATAGCAGGTATAATTTACCTCTTTTTAACGAATTGTTTCAACTTAGAACGTTGACATACCATATCCTATTAATTATTCCTACTTAATTACACAATAAATCATGTCTTACCTTCTTACCAATACTTGGAAAAGTATATGGCGCAAATGTATGATGTCATATACTGGCCAATGTTTTGAAATGAATCATCAGTATGGCGTCGATTTATGACGTCATTTGCATTGGCCAGTACACTGGGTTCTATTTCGAAACACACCCAGTTATTGTTGTTTGATGCTAAGGAATATAAACATGTGATTTCTATTTTGACAGAAATAAAAATACTGTATTTTCATTCAAGTGTATTTCATTTATTAGTAGAAATCGTATGCTTTAATAAGGTAAGCAGATGAGTATTTACGCAATATTGAGGTTAGTAAACAAGCTTTTCCTTAACTTAGTTAAAACTACTTTTACGGATTTTATCGCGTTTAATTTATTTGATTTTTAATTCCCGACGTTTTTGGTGCTTTCCGGCACCCATGGTCACGGCCGTGACCATGAGTGATCTCAGTACCCCGGAACTCACTACGATGAGACTGAGATGACTGATGTCCCGATGTCGGTGTTAACCCGGAGTACCTTCAGCTTTTTAATTATTATTTATGGTCCGATCTACGCAGAATGAACTTACTGTGTCTTGAAGTCTTACAGTGGTATGTAATGCTTGATGTTGTGTATGTCTAGGTGTGTAAGGGTGTGCGGGCTGCGTCCCCCACCGAACGGTCGCTGTCTCATTAAACCAGTGTGCAATTAACTAGCTTGTCTAGTTGACGTGTCGCCCTTGTCACTCCCTAACTATATCAATATTCAACACTTGGGTTTAGTTTTAATTTTATTAATTACAGGGTCCCAAGCAGATGGTAATACCCAGTCTCCTTCTCTAATGAAATAGGATGTTTTTTTTATTTCAATAGCCTCACATATCATCTTTGGTAGGAATAGATGTTTTTTCGCGAGGATTTGTGGTCTATCAAATATGATTTAATGGTTGGGGCCGTCTAGGATAAAAACCTATATACCTTGTTAAAACGAATCGTAGTCCTACCGAACTTCTATATAACAAATTTCGTTATAACGAATTACATACTTCATATAACAAATATTTTCTATTTCCCTTCAGTATCGTTACATCGAGGTTGCACTGTATATTGTGATAAATTAGACACAACTTTTCTGCTAATATTTAAGCTAGTTTTTTTCATGACTGAAAATTCTGAATGTAGGTATTTTTAATAACGACAAACTGTTTTCATTTATTTATATAAGCAATAAAATTGTGCTAGAAGATACCTAGATAGCTTTTAAATATATCTGAAATGTAAAAATTAATATTTGTTTGTTCGTATTTTATGCGCTGTCATACCGTTCTTCAAATGGCGGTAAAACTTTGTCGACACATTGCTTACACATCCGCGAAAATTGTAGGTATAGTTGGAACCGGTATGTGGCGCTATTGTAGAATTCAGATATTAACCGTGTGAAGACGGGGCAGATCGCTAGGTTGTGATAAAATTAACTTTCTATCTTTTCCTCTATTACATTATAATTTTATTTATATAAGATTAATTATAAAACCAATTAATATAAAACGCAAAAAAATAAATATAAAACGCAAAACTGGGCACAAGAGAAAGCGGTGAGCTGAAGGTAGGGAAATTTGGAGTAGGGCAACGGAACCGAAGGGGCCAGCAGCTGGCCGACTTTATGGAGAAAGAGGGACTCTTTATGATGAACTCTTTCTTCCAGAAGCGGCCCCACAGGAAGTGGACCTGGTCGAGCCCCGACGGTTCGACAAAAAATGAGATTGACTTCATTATGACGACCAGACGCCAACTGTTCAGTGATGTCTCAGTGATCGCAAGGGTGAAAACTGGCAGCGATCACCGAATGGTTAGAGGCACACTGAACCTAAACGTTAAGTTGGAGAGGTCTCGTCTAATGAAGTCAACGCTCCGTCCCCCTCGTGCTCTAATCCAGAATCCCGAAACCTTTCAGCTCGAGTTACATAACTGCTTCAAGTGCCTAGAAGATTGCAATGCAGTGGACGATATGAACGACAAGCTCGTGGAAACTGTCCATGCGGTCGGAGCTAAGTTCTGCAAGACCCGCCGCAGAAGAACACAAAAACTCTCCGATCACACTCTTAATCTCATGGCTGTTAGACGGGAGATGAGGCTGCAATCGTCAACAGATTTGACAGCATACAGGCAACTGAACAGACAGATCTCCAAATGCATACGGCGAGACTTACGCAACTTTAATACTTCTCGTATTAAAGAAGCGATCGAGCGGAACCAGGGCTCCAAAGTCTTTGCCAGAGATCTGTCTGCCAGAAAGAGCCAACTGTCAAGGCTGAAGACTGAGTGTGGCAACATCGTTTCCGGGACACCTGAGATTTTGAGTGAGATTGAGAGGTTCTATGGGCATCATCGTTGGAGCCACACGCAAGTGTGAGTAACGATCCAAGAGCAAGTCTTATCCGACACTATTCCGATGATATCCCGGACGTCAGTCTAAGCGAGATTAGAATGGCTCTCCAGCACCTTAAAAACGGCAGGGCCCCAGGCGAGGATGGAATTACAGCGGAGCTTCTGAAAGCGGGTGGAACACCGGTACTTGAAGTCCTTCAGAAGCTCTTCAATTCCGTCCTCCATGGTGGCACTACTCCAGAGGCGTGGAGCAGAAGTGCGGTGGTCTTGTTCTTTAAGAAAGGCGACAACGCTCTCTTAAAGAACTACAGACCGATTTCCCTTCTGAGCCGCGTCTACGTGCTGTTTTCGAGAGTCATTACGAATCGTCTCGCACGCAGACTTGACGACTTCCAGCCTCCCGAACAAGCCGGTTTCCGAAAAGGCTTCAGTACCATAGACCACATACATACCCTGCGGCAGATTGTACAGAAGACTGAAGAGTACAATCTGCCACTTTGCCTGGCGTATGTGGACTATGAGAAAGCCTTTGATTCCGTCGAAATTTGGGCGGTGCTACAGTCCCTTCAGCGGTGCCAAGTTGACTGTCGGTATATCGAAGTGCTGAAGTGTTTGTACAGTAGGGCTACGATGGCTATCCGAGTACAGAACCAGAGCTCGAAACCTATCCAACTGCAGAGAGGTGTAAGACAGGGTGACGTTATATCCCCGAAACTCTTCACCGCTGCATTGGAAGACGTTTTCAAGCTACTGGACTGGAAAGGATACGGTATTGACATCAATGGCGAGTACATCACTCACCTTCGATTTGCCGACGATATAGTCCTTATGGCAGAATCGCTGGAGGACTTAAGCACTATGCTCAATGACCTCAATAGTGCCTCCCAAACGGATAGGTCTTAAGATGAACATGGACAAAACAAAGATCATGTTCAATGTCCATGTCACACCTATGCCGGTAGTTGTTGGGAGCACTATGCTCGAAGTTGTTGACGAATACGTTTACCTGGGACAAATAGTCCGACTAGGTAAGTCCAACTTCGACCGAGAGGTCAATCGACGGATTCAACTCGGCTGGGCAGCGTTCGGGAAATTACGGCATATCTTTTCGTCAGGTATACCTCAATCTCTAAAAACTAGATTGTACAACCAGTGCGTGTTGCCAGTGATGACTTACGGATCTGAGACGTGGTCCTTCACTGCTGGCCGTATGAGGACGCTTAAGGTCGCTCAGCGAGCTATGGAGAGGGCTATGCTCGGAGTTTCTCTGCGTGATAGACTCAGAAATGAGGATATCCGCAGTAAAACCAGAGTGACCGACATAGCCCAACGGATTAGTAAGCTGAAGTGGCAATGGGCCGGCCATATAGCTCGAAGAACCGATAACCGATGGGGAAGAAAGGTTCTCGAGTGGCAGCCTCGTACCGGTAGGCGTAGTGTAGGGCGACCCCCCACTAGATGGAGTGACGACCTGGTAAGACATGCAGGAAGTCGATGGATGCAGGTGGCTCAGGACCGTGCTTTGTGGCATTACTTGGGGGAGGCCTATGTTCAGCAGTGGACTTGTGAAGGGCTGTAATGATGATGATGATGATGATGATAAAACCAATTATGCAATCTGTGTCTATTGCATCAACAAACTTATCTGAGTATAACCTTTCTTTACTTTAAAAATAATTTATTCTACGCAAATACTTTAAACAAAGCGTTAATAATAAAGTGGCTTGTTTGCTAGAGCAGTTCATACTTAAATAGAAGTAATATAAAAATCTGTTAACTATCTCATTTTCCATATTGCAAGACTCGGCATTTTTCACTTCATTTTCTGCCTTATATTTTTATCAACAACTCCTCTCTCCTTCATCCGTACGCCAAATCGACAGACGTATGAACGTGAGGCCAACAGACATTCACCTGCTCATGCCACTGTGCTTCATAATACCATTCTCAAAAGCATGTAATCTAGGCTACGATACCAACTCGTCTAAAGCCTTGTCTCTGTTGAACTCGTGTTTCGCCAACGCCGCCGACACTCTGCCTTCCGAGAAACCAAGGTCCATCAATTCGCCAAGAATCAGAAGACCCTCGATGATCTGAAATTAGTTACAAATAATATTGAATTGAGTGATGAATTTGACTGACTCGTCTAGTGGTCGCAAGCGCGATTGCTAATCATAAGGTCCTGGGTTCGAATCCCAGGTCCATCAAAATGAATGATGAATAAATATGATTCTACCTTTCATCACCGACATTGCCGGCGTGGAAACAGAAAAGAATAATGTTCATTTTTACACTGACAAGACACTGCACAATATTTGATATAGTTGCCAAGTTTGATCGAGTAGATAGTAGAATCGACAACCACAATTTTTCTTATTTTAAGTTGTTATTAGGGACGCGTTGATAATGCCCATCTCCTAGTTTGTTTTCCGCTGACGCTTCTTACGACAATCACGGGATGATACAGGGAAGTAGATATTCTTACACCGTCACTAATGTCGTGGTAATGTTGAGGCTGAACTGAAATTCGGTCATGGCGGCCAGCTTCCACGGAAACAAGCAATCTGCGCAGCACAGGATTATAGTGCTTAAGTTTATGCACAAATACAGGTGCACTCTTTATTCCCTCACTTTCATAGACCAATGGGAGTAAATCGACACTTACGACACGACAATAACCAACGACTTAACGTGCTTTCCAAGGCAGGGGGGTAAGACACCCCCAACTTTCTGACTCCGAGCAAATACTGAGAATTTCTTTACAGTAAAACTAAATAACTGATTTTTTTTTGGTCTGACCCAGTATTCGAATCCGGGACTTAGTAGTCAGCGGCCGCTTTGACGGTTAGTAAGTAAGTCCGATAGGTGATAGGGCTATGCTAGGAGTCCATCCTAGCAGTTTTACGGTTTGAATGGTTAAGACCGAGCTTTGAGGCAATTCATTTTCGTCTTCTACATTAAACCATTGACTTATATATTACTAGCGTAAGGACCGGGCCGACCGAACAATAAAAACGGACCAATGTGTTGGCCCTAAAATAACAGTTTAGGGCCAGGTGGTGAAGTAGTGGGGAGGACAGATTTGCCTGTCATAAATATGTCTAGTTGTGAGGTAAAAGAATGCAAAAATTACGATACAAAGATAAGAGAAACATGGGATATCGTATCATCGGTAAATAACATTATATTAATTTTGTTACAATAAAATTATGATATAAACGTATTTATAAAGTTTTATTTTACAGTTAGTTTAGTTCGTTACCAATATTAGGCCAGGGTTGGATTCAGACCCTCTAAAATATTGAACATGGAAAATAAAATTATACAATTTAAAAAAAAATCACATTTGAGGTTTCATGTTTCTTTTTACCCATGTGCCGGGATTTTGGAGTCAAGCATTTTTATTACTGTTTAAATGTTGTCTAAAGAACTTAGTGTAAGTTAAATTTTGAATATTGGTACCTAATATGTTTTATATTCAATAAGGGTAAAACGAAAAGAGTTCAAAAGAAAAGGATCGATCGAGCATCGATTGACCAGAAAGGGAGCTAATTCTAATTTTATTAAAAAAACGCGGTACTCATGTACAATACGGAAATTCCCGATATCGTAGAGTTAATATTAAAACGTAAAAAGACCCCATAATAATACAAGTCGACCTTTAGGTAAAATTATTGTATTTTCGCCTAGTATTATTACGATACTATGTACTACAAACTATGAAATAATGGTACAATTAGGATAATTATACTACGAAATCCGACCATGGTTACGTCGTGTTTTGATATGACGTTTGTATTATGACATATGCGCTACTTTTTCTTGTATGAAAAAGTTATGAGTAAAATACAGGGTGTCTCAAAACGACCCAACTACATTATTTGAAAAAAAAAATACATTAAACTTATTTTTGTATGCATTTATTGGTATTGAATTGAAAGATAAGGAACAAAATTTTACTTTTTAAGCACGGCGTTCTTTAAATGACGGCTATTACGTTGACGGCACTCCTCAAACCGTTTGCGTACACTTTCAAAAACTTTTTGAAGAAGTGGTCGAGGAATACTCCTGATTTTTTCTTCAATATTGTTTCTTAAATCTGCCAAATTTCGTGGATTACTCTCGTGGACTACGCTCTTAACATAACCCCACAATAAAAAATCAGGTGGGGTCAAGTCAGGGCTCCGAGGTGGCCATTCAATATCACCTCTTCGTGAAATCACCTTTTCACGGAACAACTCGTGCAATGCAGCTAAAGAGTTGTTAGTGGTGTGCGATGTGGCCCCATCTTGTTGAAACCATGTCAACCGGTTATAATGCTCACATTGTTGCAGTTGAGGTCCGAAAAAATTGCGTATCATGTCCACATAGCGTACAGAAGTTATAGTCACTGCATGTCCTCTGTTATCTTCATAAAAGTAGGGCCCAATAATGCAGTTCGCTGACATAGCAACTCACACGGTCACTTTGGGGCTATGCAACGGGCGTTTATGTATTGTCTGTGGATTCATTTCTCCCCAAAAACGACAATTTTGACGATTGACGTATCCGTCCAAATGAAAATGTGTCTCATCGCTAAAGAACATGTTGAAATTGTTAAATCTCTTTAACATTACATTCACAAAATTCAATCTTGTAACGTAATCATTTTCATGAAGAGCTTGCACAATCTGAATTTTATAGGCCTTTAGGTGTAAATCAAATCGCATCATGCGGTGAATTGTTGCTCTTGATAATCCCAACTGAGACTCACGCTTTCTAACGCTGAGTCGAGGTTGTCGGCTTACAGAATCTGCAACTGACTGAATGTTTCCAGCTTTTGCTGCCGTGATGGATTTCGCCAATAGTGTTTCCAGTAGTATTGAATGTCTGGATCCAAGCTAAAATTGTTGCATTGCTTGGAGTTACCACAATGTTGCGCAGTCGATAATGTAACCGATACATCCGTCGAACGCGAATGAGTGATCGACTGTTCTCGAAATACGCGCGCACGCAAAACGAGCGTAGCTCTCCCGTATACGGCATGATGGCAACTAAAAATTTAAGGGACACTCTAGTAAACGACGCCCGCGCCACCACTCCCCCGCGTCCTGTTTGCTTCTCGCTCACTCTTGAAATAGTTGGATTGTTTTGAGACATCCTGTATTTAGATGGGCCTATCCTTCCTTTTGAAATCATCGCATTAAAATTTTTTTTTTTATTGAGTTCGTCGCTTGCCACAAGTTTTGTCACTCCAATATTTAAAAAATATATCAAAGTTACTCTTGAATTTATGGTTGTTGCCATTTCAACGGAAAGGGTATAACGGTCACTCACTCATTTAAAAAAAAAAGATGTTATGTTGTCATTTGCCAAACTAAACACGGCGCCCAGAAATGAATATTTTTTTATATATATGTATGGAGTATTTATTTATGGAATAAGAAAATTTTAATCACTACGAAACGCTTCAACATCATATTTCTAACGTTATAAATAACTGTTTAAAAATGTATTCTACCTATATCACGATACATTTAATAAAATCAGAGATTTGAATGACCTCGCCTCAATAAAACCTAAGAGGTACAAGAAATTGTTTTCAAGGACAGACAGTATTCACTGAACCGTAATTTATGCGGAGTAGTAATGCTGCGGCTACACTAACGAGAAATGCCGTTAATTGACGCGATAATTTGACAACGGCATTAACAATGCCGTTCCCCTTTGACGATAACTCGAGTGGCGGTACATCAAAGGATTAACGCGCGAATTATCGCGTTGAAGCGGCCACACTATGTTTGTCTCATTGTGCACGGTAGGTGCAACGGGTTTGCACGTATGGCTGCGATGGAGTGAAGTAATGAAAAAGTTCCTCGAGATTGAATTAAAAAAATTACTTCAAAAGTACACTTTCAATTTACGGCATGGAAGTAAGAAAAATAAGCAGGAGAAATAAAAAACAATTTTTGCAGGTCGAAATACATAATGTACAGTAGTACGAAACCCTGGGTACGTGTATCTAATTCACACTTGACCAGTATTTATGCTTGGCTTATTAGTTATATTTTATTAAAATATATTTACGTTTGTCTTATTATTTAGCTGAAACTATTGGACGTCTTTCTAGTGTAATTTGGGTGCGGCAAAACAAAATAAAATTTAAATTAATAAACATAAATAGATTTACAGTGTACGTTTCCTGTGCATTTCTAGCATCCACCATCTTCTTTTTCTTTGTATTCTTTTTTTCTTCGTTTGGCAATGATAAAATATATTCATATAATAAAAATTTACACTCATCAAATATAGAGTAGCTGCGTTAACGTCCATCTTGCTTAAAATTCAAGGAATATTTAATAAAAACATTTAACGGCGTTTAAATTGAAACGACGTTGACCGTTCTAGTCTAGCCACTCAGTTTATCGTGTTAAATTTAAGGCAATAATTTTTGCGTTTATGGGCATTGACGTTTCTCGTTAGTGTAGCCGCAGCATAAGAATAATAAATACCTATTGTAGTATTAGTTTGTAAATAGATAGAGCAAGCCATTGTTTGCAATGGAAAATTTAAAATCTATATAGTAGAGACATACTGCAACTATATTATCGTTATAGCATGAATTGGTCAGCTCAACTGGGAAAGGACCACATTCTCATAATTCTAGTGTAAAATAGCAGCTTAATTCTGCTGTGTTTCATATGGATAGTGTAGAGAACCAGAGTCTCTTTTTACTAGAAACAAGGCATTCTGTCTTAGTCCTCAGGGATGACAATGTATATACATTTTCATCCTTAATCGACAATAGATTTAGATGTCTGTGGGCTCCAGCATCTACCAGCCATTATAGTTCATAAAAGATAGCTTGATCTCTGCGACAGCTGTCAGACACGCCTTGAAGTCCTGAATTTCTTAGTAGTACAGACACACAGTACGAGTACTGTCATTGTCATAATTTGGGCATTCAAGGTGGTGCCCATAAAGTATGACATTGACAGGTACTGTGTGTCTGTACTACTAAGAAATTCAGGACTTCATAGGCGTGATTTTTACTGACAGCTGTCGCAGAGATCAAGCTATCTTTTATGTACTATAGGTGGATTGTGTGCTTGCTTGTCACCTTATTCTACAAAAAAAAGTTGCAGCACAAGACGCCTTGCACCTTTGACGCTAATCCTGCCACCGGTCCAGGTATTTTAGGCATGGCATTAAGAGAATTGTGAAGTGCCGATACACAGCGCGAGTAGGTAATTTAAAAAATGCTATCAGTTTCACATCGCTCGACTCCGTATCACCCTATACCCTCGTGGGATAGAGAGTTGCAAATGTTGGAAGTAATTGCCCACATTTTCTTTTTAAAATATTGTTTCGAGCGATAATGTTTTCATTTCACCTCCCTAAACCTTTACGAAATGAGACAATTTTGGTCTCATTTGATGCAGTGTACCTGAAATTAGGTCTATACGTTTTTCTTTTTTAGTAATTCATTTTAGGTTAAATAAAAAAAAAGCTCGAGGAAGTTTAAAGTAAAAAACATGGATATTTTTAGAAGATAATAACTTATATCATTCGCAATATTTCCTTAAAATAAAGACGTACGGCCCTAGTTTTTCATTATACCTACATTTCCAAAAATTAGACTATATTTACGGGAGGGTAAACATTATCGGTTTTTGTATGAATTTACAGCTTCACAATCCTCTTATGTAAACTTGATGGTTACTATGCCATCTATCAAAAGCTGTAACACGAATTTTCTGGAATTTCCTTTCATGAGACCCACAAAATTATATGGGGTGATGGATACAATAGCACCTTGTTTATTAAAAGTATATTAACTCATTTTTTTAATACAAATTAATAAAACTTAGTAATCATAAATATGAAAATAGCCATGATTTTTCTTTTGATTCATAATTGGACTGAAATATGTCGAGATCTGTCGTCACATGCCGCTAATTGAATTATATTTATCAAGAAGGCGGTCGGCGTATTCATCCAAAGATGGTTGTTTCGAGTTCAAGCTCTAAAGAAAATTTGTCTAAGAATGAGCAACAAATTATCTTCCAGAGTTCAAAAGGAGTTCTGCAGGGATCTGTTCTTGGTTAATTGATAATTACCCTATATCTATCATATATTATTAATATTTGAAAAGTATGTTACAGATACCATTTTCATTATTTGCTGACGACACAAAATTTTTTAGGAATCCTATTACACAATCAAGTTATACAAGAGGATCTAAATGCTATCTGCGATTGGACTATGTGATTGGTTCCTAACACTGAACACAAACAAGTGTATGATTCTACATATAGCGAAAAATAATCTACAAAATATATATTATCTAGGTGATCAGTGATCACCCATTGTCTTCTGTAGAATCACAAAAAGACATTGGCATTACAATAACCAGTGACCTCAAATGGTACACTATGGTAAAACATATCCTTAACGCAGTAAAAAATGCAAACTCCATGATGTATATGATTCAAAACTTCATTCTTAAAAAACATTTATCAATGATTAAAACTACTTTTACGGATTTTGTCGCGTTTATTTTTACTTTTTATTTTTAATTCCCGACGTTTCGGGCGCTTTCCAGCACCCATGGTCACGGGGGACTGAGATGACTGACGTCCCGATGTCATTGTTAAACCCGGAGTACCTTCAGCTTTTTTAATTATTGTTTATGGTCCGATCTATGCAAAATGAACTGACTATGTCCTAAGGTCTTGCAGTGGTATGCTTGGGTTTAGTTTTAATTTTATTGATTATAGGATCCCAAGCAGGTGGTAGTACCCAGCCTCCTTCTCTATTGAAATTAGGATGTTTTTTTAATTTCAATAGCCTCACGTATCATCCTTGGTAGGAATCGGTGTTCTTTCGCGAGGATTTGTGGTCTATCAAATCTGATGTAATGGTTGGGGCCGTCTAGGATATGATCACAAACTGCAGACTTCCCGGAACGTTGATGCTTCATGCATGCATGAAGCATCAACGTTCCGGGAAGTCTTCATGCATGTGAAGCATCAACGTTCCGGGAAGTCTGCAGTTTGTGATCATATCCTAGACGGCCCCAACCATTACATCAGATTTGATAGACCACAAATCCTCGCGAAAGAACACCGATTCCTACCAAGGATGATACGTGAGGCTATTGAAATTAATATCGGTTCGGATCGGACCATAAACAATAATTAAAAAAGCTGAAGGTACTCCGGGTTTAACAATGACATCGGGACGTCAGTCATCTCAGTCCCCCGTGACCATGGGTGCTGGAAAGCGCCCGAAACGTCGGGAATTAAAAATAAAAAGTAAAAATAAACGCGACAAAATCCGTAAAAGTAGTTTTAATCATGTGCAATGTTCGCGTAAATATAAGAAATCATTAACATTTATCAATATTTACCAAAGTACTTAAGACCTCTTTTGAAGTTTGCATATGTGATATGGGACCTTTATTTCCATAAAAAAATACGGTACTGTAATAATACTGGAAAATTTTCAAAAGAAGGTCACAAAAACGGTAAAACAACTGCGAAACATGATATATATGAGCAGTGAAAGAAAAAGTTTAACCCCACAACACTAGAGTGACACAGATAGAGTGGTAGTCTAATTGAAACATACAAAATACTGACAGGATATTATGATGTTCCCACTCTGCAAAATTTGTACTTACTGAATAGCAACAAACGTCTGAGAAGACATCAACTTAAACTTTGCAATAGGGCTGGCAAGTGGAATCCTATGAAGAATTTTATTACAAATTGTGTTGTCACCAAATGGAATAAGCTACTGCAAAATGTGATTGATACTCCTACATTGAACACCTTCAAGAACAGATTGGATAAAATCTTCAAGCATTAAGAGGTACATGCCAGCATCAGCTTTCTAGCTGCTAGTGTGTTTATGTATTAATAATAATAAAAATGAAATTAAACAAAGAAGAAATGTGGAGAATGAGAATGAGGAGTCATCATCTCTCATATTTTAAATTTTCTTTCATCAGATCTATTAGAAGAAGTGTAAGGGTCATCCCCTTCCAAACAACTTCTCTGAATGAATATCATCACCAAATAAGTCAAGTCAAATTTTATTAAATTTAATGACTTTTATCATGTGAAATATTGCAAAATTGCTAACATATACTAAAACACAATAGAAAATGTATGTAAATTTAGATGTTAAGCAGGTTTAAATTAGACAATTTCTACCTCTTATTTTTTTTTTTTCATAACTGTTTATTTTAATATTTTATGACCAAGAAGACACTACTTAACAAAAGCTAGCAGATTACAATCAAGTTATATTTATGGATAAGTATGTAAATTATATTATAAATCCAAAATATATCTTTAATTTATATACTATTAATTAACTATAATTTATATAGGCTAGTGACAGAATAGAATAAGTCATAAATATTTTAATATTGTCGTCATAAATTAAGATGGATACAATGGAAAATTCTCATGAGCCATATTTCAAACAGTGTACAGGCAGGCTTAATAATGTTTTGTATGATGATCCTGATACAATATTTTATAATACAATCACTTCATAGTATTTGTCATTACCATAGGTTACTTAAGTAAACATATTATTTTCTTTGGAGGTCATTGCTAAGTATGAACTTTCACTTCCTCAGGTCTAACCTGCCAGCCATGTGTAGTAAATGTGGTCAAGTTGTCTGAATAATTAATTCTAGCTCATTATTCAAATTAATTCTAACCTTAAAATACACAGTAGTGCTCAACATTTGGTACTACAAAGTGACATTTAAGGCAAATCCTTAGAGAGAGAGAGATAAATACATATAGTGAGAGAGAGCTTCATATATTATAGTATATCAATTTTTTTTATAGCAGAAGGGTGACAAACGAGCACACAGTCCACCTGATAGTAAGTGGATGCTGTGGACCATAGACATCTGCATTTTGATTCCTAATTAAGGATCTACATTTATCCTTAATTAGGAATCAAAATGCAGATGTGTTGTCAGTCCTGAGGTATATATATATATATATATATATAACCTGATCTAAGATAAAATGCCTCCTTTCCAGTAAAAAGGGGCTCTAGTTCTCCACACTCACCATATTATGGAACACAGCAGCATTAAGCTGCTGTTTTATACTAGTATTCTGTGAGAGTGTGGTCTTACCCGGTCGAGCTGACGAATTTGTGCTACAACCATAATAATAGCTGCAACATGACTCTACCATGTATAAAAGATGTCTAGAAAAAGCCAATTGACAAGATTAAAAGAACAAACAATTTACCTTTTTATCATTATCCCCTACCAAACTGCACACTCTTGCTACCCTGTCTAATGGGAATCCCATTCCATGAATTTTCTGACAGGTATTTTGTAGTGGAGGAGGAAGTTTATCGTAAGGGTTTGGTAATTGCTCACTCCTTTTTCTTCTCTTTTCTTCTTTTTTATTACTACTTGAAGAACAACAAGGAACAGATTTTGGTGCAGGACTTGCATTGCATGACCTTTCACTAGCCCTAAGCTTAGCAGAAGCAAGTTCCTCATTCAACTCTCTAACAATGTCCGGTACACTGCGGGAACGGGATTTCATTGTATTTTGTGAAGCTGTAACTTTTTCTCCAGGTCTTTCATACACTTCATTTACATTATAACTTGTATTTGCATTTGTATATTGAACAGGGGCTTGAGGATACTGAAAGTAATATGGGTGAGGAATGAATGTGGAATCATTTTGTACTTGATCACTACTTGTTGTTGGTATTGGATTGCTGTAATAGAGGTCAGGAGTGGGAACTGCTTGAGTGGGCACATAGTATTGATAATTTGGCATGCAGATATTTACATTTTCCAAAGGCATATTATCACAGGTATTTTCAGGGGTTACGTAATACCCATTAGAGACAGGGAAGTGCTGTGGTGAAGAGTAAGTAGCACTTGGACCTTGGATTGTTTGTTCCATGTAAGCATTTGGCAAATATGTGACACCTTCAATCTGTGCCTGTGTTGCACAATTATTATAAGAAGGGTAAGTCTGATCAGGAATGTACATGTTCTGTACAGGACAGTTTGACATTGAATCCCTCTGCAACACCTGTGCCAGCAGTTCCATGTCATTTATTGTCTTCAATTCGACATTGTCAAAGGGACTTGACGTATCATTTTCAAAATCTCTAAATGTTAACATATCAACATTATGATTGTACTGAGGTATTTTGGCCATTTTTGCATTCATTTTTAGTTCTTGTAATGGGTCTGGGTCATCTAAGAGATTGTGTTGGTAACTGGTCTGCACCTGTACAGGTTGAAGGATATTCTGCTGTGACTCAAGCTCTTTACTTATATAGGGCTCGGTACAAACAGCTTTATCAACTTCGGCTGCTGTATCTTCAGTTGGAGAGGTATCACAATTTTTGTCTAATTTGTCATCTAAAGAAATTGCACTTATTTCATCAGTACTTGGATAAGATACTTCGGATACACTTAATTGCTTTAATTTCTCTTCAGCCTCCGCGGCGGCGATTGCGTCTAACTTGTTTTGCTTTGCTTCCTCCAATAGTTGCAAGCGATGCCTTCTTTCATTTCTTTTAGTTTCCTTCGCGCTTCGCAGCTCTTTGAGTTTAGAAAGCACGGTGCTTTCGAAAGTGGAACAATATTTTATGCTGTCGATAACATTTTGTGCTCTCTGTGGACATTCAACAACACTATACGGTAACTCTATTCTAGGTGGTCTCTTATACTTTTCTGAAATTTTAACGGGAACACCGTCCATGTAATCCCCGAAATGTGACATATCAATAAAGACTCCAGTACGGAGATAGAGATAATGATCAAACAATGAGACGACAGTTTGTTTCTGTACACTTTTTGCACTTTTACGGTTACATTATTTTCTTTAGACGTCATCACTTGATTGATTTACTATACTACACCAGAGATAAGATTGCAATGTTTATTATATGTCCCATATCTACCGAATACGAATTTAAAACAAAAATACTAATTAAATTTTTTACGATATACTCGTAAACGATTATTTTTTATAGAAATGACAATGACATCAATTTGACATTCAATGTCAACATTTTTGTACTTGTTTTACCTGGTGTTGCCTAATTCCAAATAACGTCATGTGATAAATGATAATTACGATATTACCTATTTGTCTTATATTGTCTTACGTAGAATATTCTCGTTGCGGTATCATCTAGAAATAGTATAATGGTACATATTTTGCAAGAACGTAATTTCTGAAATATATATCTTTTACTGGCATTTTATGGAACACAAAATTTGAACTAAAACATAAGATTATCACGTGTACACTGTGGCAAATCCCGTCAGATGTCGCCAGCGCTGCTTCCTTAAGTCATGGCGGAATAGTTCTAATAATTTGCGATTTATCCTTAATTCGTGGGTAGATTAGGTTTGTTAATACCGGTGTCGAAATATTAAAACCTCGTTCTGTTCGTATATTGAGAGCTCAACATTAAGCAAGGCCGACAACGACACCATTAGACCAACATTACCAAAAGTTGAAGTCTGAATTTAGAGGTTCAGTAAATACTCAAAAATTATTAAGATCGTCGACACAATAGGATATTTATTACGTTAAGCATGACGCAATAAGTAATAACGACGTCACAGTTGTAAGCGGTTGAGTTGCAGGTCGGTATTCTTAAAATTTCATTTTCTTTATCACACTAGGGTTAGGGCTCATGCTTTTATATTTTTTTTCCGTAGAAAATGGATATGAACGAAGGAGCACCTATAATGTACCACGGGAACGGTTATGGGGGTGCAGTCTATATGGTACCCGGCCAAATCGACAGATCACGACATTATCCCTTGGAGGTACACCAAGTATTAGGCGGAGCAGGGCGTGGTGGAGGAGATCCTAGCCATGGAACTCCGCGGAGATGGCAGGCGCGTCGTGACCGCCAGCATACTAGTAAAGACTATACCGCATTTGGCTATGATTCTGATGATTCCAGTCTATCAAGTAATGCTTCCGGTTCCAACAAGTCAAGTGAAAAAGGTATGCCAATATTTAGTAACCTTTTTTAGTAACAATATAAATTTATAAAGCAAATTCACCACTTAATTTTTATCTACCCCCAAAAAAAAAAAAAATCTAATGTGTATAAAGTATTTATAATGCTAAAAGACCATACATTCCAATCAATAATTATTATTATATTACCTACTATCTTCTGCATATGTGAAATCAGAAGTATCTACATACTTAGGCAATTACTGACTTATTTTTTTTGAGTACTGTGTGTTTGTTATATGTTCATTTTTCAGTACACAACAATGATCAAGAAAATTAATTCTTTGAAAACTTTTTGTTATTTTTCAAAATTAAAGCCAATTTGCATGCAGCATATAATAAACAAATGATTTTAGTTTTGACACAACAAATGTTGGTTTAGTTCTAAAACTGGATTTGAATTCTGTATGTTTATAGTTTTCTTGACACATGAAATCCTTGTTTTAGTTAGTATACATGAGGAGCTAAAATTAAAACATGATTTGTCACTCAGATCAGATTGTTGAGAATCCAAAAAAAAATTATATTAGTAAATTAAAAAACTAATGATGATCTTTCTATCTCTTTCTGGTAGTTCTTAGACATATTTCATTTTACAAATAAGTTTTAAATATTGTACTATACAAAATTAGTTTGTTTTAAAAAAAAACAATTTGAACTAATCATGTTTTGAATGAATAGGTTTGGAGAAATCATGCTTTGCTTTACGATTCTATAGAAAAAAGGTAAATCTACTCAGCTTATTCTAGGTAAATAAATTAAAATACAATTTTTCCTTATAGCATTCTTTATTTAAAAAAATTGTCAAATATGAAACCTTTTTTGGACCAAAGGACGAAACTTTTTTTGATTCAAAAATCTATTTTTTTCCAAAGGGACAAATTTGATTTTGCTCAGATACATGATATTTTTTAGTAATCATGGACAAGTAATCATGGAGAATACAAATAACACCTAAACATTTTTTTTTTTTTTTGTAAATTGACATCACTTTTTGAACGCCTTGTGGTGGCCTACAATAGCATAATTAAAGGGCAACAGAGAGAAAAAAGAACAATGATGGCAACATCTTCCTGATAACAACTTAAAATTATAAAACACTAAATTTTCTTGGCAAGCATGGCAATTGTAACAAATATCACCCTATGAGGCAATCTATTTAATAGGCTGTTGTTTAACAGTGGATTTTTGATAGATAGATAGAAAATTTATTTGCTTAAAAACAACTGACATGTTTTTCCATAATTGGCATGCAAAAATAAAATACATTGCTAATGCTAACACTAAACTGATTTAACACTTTAAAATTATTTTGACATTAGTTCAAAATTATATACAAACATTCTTGTTAAATTCAATTAAATACATATAGGGAGTTACTTAAATACAAATAAATTGTGAATTATTTTACAATAAATTGGTTATAAATTATCATTTTAATAATTACATTACATTATAAATTAATTCATATCAAAGTTTGATATTTTTAAATACAATAATATTTAGATTTACTAATCTCAAACTGTATTTTAATAAATAGTTAGTATAAATTACTTATTGCTTTTGAGTAACAATATTTCAATATACATCAATTTCCACAAACTGAATTTTACATTATTATTATAAATTTGTTTGAATTTATAAATATTATCAAAATATTCTGTTCACTAAAAATTTATCAATAAGTCATGATTTTTGCGCCTTCATAAAGAGAGGAGATAATAACTCCCTGATATCAGAAGGAATTTTGTTATAAATTTTAATAGTTATCATGTAGCATTTATTTTAAATGAGCTAATGCAACCAAAAGGTAGATAGTGTTTCATGGCCGTAGCCGTGGATTGAACATTTTGAATTTTTGAAATAATTGTGAATGTTTTTTAACAAAAAGTTCTACTTCTAAGATGTATAGTATAATGTATGTATATAGGTGAAAAATTGTGTATGAAATATTTTAGAAAGTAATGGCAATAAACAATGGGGACCTGCTTTGATATAATACATCATAGAAGGTCCCCATTGTTTCATATTATGTAAGTTATTAAAAAAAATTATTTAAAGCCTTGGATGGTAGGGGTAACTTAACTGACGAGCATGTATGCGTAAGTATATGAATGTGGAGGAGGCGAGAGAGATGTCAGGATCGTGCCAAATGGAAGTCTAGTCTATGCCTACCCTCTGGGTGACAGATTTAAGTGTTTTTGTATGTATGTATGGATGGTACCTTAGGGTCTAAAGGCTCACTATAATTTTGACAGCATAAAGTGATCCTGATTGATCCTTGCCAGCACCATTGAAATTGTTATACTTCACATAATTCATTGCTGTAGTTGCAGAAATAAAATGTGTGAAAACAGGAGGACATATTTTTTGTTTACTCTCACTTACAGGTTTCTTTATTTATTTTTTCTTTATCAAACTTTACTGAATGTATAGGAACAAAAGACATTATTAAACCTGTAGTGTAGAGTTAAATAGGGGTTTTTCTTGCATATGAAAAGTAAGATAAGCATCCAGAATTTTTGTTTTTCCTTAATATTACTGATCCATCTTCATTTATATCTCCAAAATATATTGATATGACTATGTAAAAGGAATGCAAGATATGGTGAGTGAAAAAAAACAACACAAAAGATGGTCAGTGTAAACTAACCAAGAGAGAAACTTGGAGACTCCATACTGATGTGCCAATTAACTTTATTTTTATTTAATTAAATAATTATTGTAATTTTAAGTTGGCAATCTAATATATAAAATTAATGTTTGTTTTTTAATGTATGGTAGTGAAAGTTGGGTGTGGCAGAAGAAGCATGAGAGTAGAATGAATGCAGTAGAAATGCGGTTGTTAAGGAGTATGTTAGGGCTGAATCTGAATGACAGGGTGAGAAATTGTGTGATAAGAGAAGAGTCTGGTTTGCAAGATGAATTTGTGACCAGGATTAAGAAGGGAATGCTTCGGTGGTTTGGTCATGTGGAAATAATGAGTGAGGAAAGAGTGACAAAGAAAATTTATGTTGCAGAAGTGAATGGCAGAGTCGGAAAGGGACGTCCTAGGCGAAAATTTATCGACCAAATTGGCGATTTACTGAAAACGGGCCAAATTAGTACCCAACGTAAGGAGTACCCTTAACCGACAAGCATGTATGCATAGGTATATGGATGTGAAGGAGGCGAGAGAGGTGTGTCAGGATCGAGCCAAATGGAAGTCTGTAGTCTCTGCCTACCCCTCTGGGTGACAGGCGTGAGTGTTTATGTTTGTTTGGTTGTTCATTTTTTATGCACTGCCATACTGTTCGTTGGAGTGCAGTAAAACTTTGTCAACTTAGAGCGCTTCTACACGGTCGGGACCAACCACCAACCGTCGTGACCTTGGTCGGGTCAACCGATTTTTGTATTCGTTCTACACGGTGGGGTGGTTGACACAACTCAACAACATTGTCACTGGTATTTAAAGAGTAAAGACGTAAGGTAGTTACTTTTAAAAATGGCTCCTTGCTTTTCTGTACAACAAAAAATCGGTTTAGCTTTATCGTTTCTATGCTTGAATGAAGAAGAAAAAAAAAATAAAAAAAAAATGGATAAAATTGTGGCTGAAAGAGCGCATTACTTTAAACAAACATGACATGGTGCTTTAGGACATGGTAAATCACAATACAGTGACAAGAATTCGGTCAGGACCTCACGTTCTTCGCTTCTGTTCGTATCCATAGTGCCGTTAAACATCCGCCTGCGACGACTGCTAAGCGCGCACTGAGGCTCTCTAGTCGGCCGACAGCGTTCCACACGGTCGGCGTCAACCACGGACCCAACGTGTCGTGAGGGATGCCCTCGCGACCAAGGCCGTCGGACTCAACCAAAATATTGGTCAGACAACCAATGTCTACACTGTCCATTTTTACATCAACTCGACCAAGGTCATGACGGTTGGTGGTTGGTCCCGACCGTGTAGAAGGCCTATTATTGCTTGCATGTTTATAGGTATAGTACAATTAACTTGAAACTGACTGACAAATTTGCTTGAAAGTTATATTTGTCATTCATTTTCAATGAATGTTTTAATTAAACTATAAAAATCTGCCAAATTTAAAACAATATTTATACAATTATTTCTTCTGTGGCAGCAATACTCCGCGTACCTAGTTAGTATGTAATAAAATATAGTTAAATGCCATTGACAGGATTAATGGATGAACAAACAAAAAATGGTTAAGGAAAAAGATTGGCAGATGGTAATATTATCATTATGACCAGGTGGAAGCAGTTCCCGGTCTGAGAATATTACTGCGGCCTCTACGGGATCGGCGCCCCCTGTGCAGTTTCAGCAGAGAGAGTGGCGCGCTCGACCACGGAGAGAGCTTCGCCCCAGAAGGATTGCACCAGAGAGATTTCTCAATGCTTCTTACCCATTCCAAGTGAAATTCACGCCCGATAATTTACTTAATGGTAAATAAATTGATGTTTAAACCATGTGTATAATATGCACTCAGTTGAGGCACTATGATACATTTTAGCAAAGCCCATTAATAAGTGTCTTGGTCCTGCATAATTTATGACTTAAAATTGAGGTGACAATCAATCTTGGTTCATTTGATGGGTAATGTGGCTTCAGCCTATGGAAACCTACAACTAGCTTTAAACAAACAAAGCTAAAGATGACTTGTTACCTATGAGGACTAATATGGAAAGCTTCGCAGCCTGTAATTATACTCTTTTTATACCAGTACACAACACTGCTGTTTTAATATACTCTAAACCCTAACTGCAAATGGACTCCAGAAAAGGAATCCTTTTTTTATAGAATAGCACAATAATAAATAGACAAATGAGCACACAACACTTGATGGTAAGTAGATACTATGTGTATGTACATCTACATATATCCTCGCTGCATTGACACCTCTGAGGGCTATGATGGAATGCCTCATTTCCAGTAAAAAGGGTCTCTAGTACTTTACAGCAGAAGCAGCTGTTTTACGCTGGTATTCTGTGATTGCGTGGTCCTTCTGTTTGAGCAGACCCATTTGTACTATAACCATAATATAGCTGCAGCTTGGATCTCCCATGTAAAGACTAAATAAGGTAAATAATTTCAACTAAAATAGGAAAAACTATTAGGTTGAATGAAATGCAACAAAAATTAATAATTGCAGTTCTATAAACAAACTAGTTCAATTGTTTTACTTTTATACTCATGGTCTAATACTCAAACACTACTCAATTTTAAGATGTTAAGTCTCGTGGTGTCACAGTTACTTTGACTTAAGGGGATAGATACAGCATGAGACTTATCTGATAAATGAGTAGTGTTTTAGTATTTGGGCATCAGTCAGGTTAAATTATTTGATGCATGACTTTTAAGTGATGGTTTTAAAGTCAGCCATAAATAGCCATAAAGTAATTTTTATAAATTCTAAACCTACTTTGGGTTTTTCCAATTATAATTGTTTAGGATAGTTATAAAATCGTTTCCAATTTCTTTACTGTCATTAACTAAGTAATACTTCGTCAGTTATGTTTTTTTATATAATTATATCTAAGAGTAAGTAAATCAACTTTTTAATAGAATTTTCTAATAAATAATAATAATCTAATAATTTAAAAAGAGGCCTAGAATGAATTCTAAACGAGAATGAGATATGAGAATGGCTGTATTATGACTCACGAAGTTTCGAATTTAAAGAGATGTAAGGAATATTTTAAAAGCATGTTTATGAGTAAGGAGATATTTGAATTAAATGTAATAGGAATTCCGAAAGAAGAGGAAAGAGATAAGGAGATGGATGATGAAATAACGAAAGCAATTAAAATCAGGTAAGGTAACCGGTTATGATGGAGTTTCACTCGAAATGCTAAGGGCTGGAGAGGGAGTGCTTGCAGGCCTGCTGTACACTTTGTTTAATTTATATTCGGAACTGAAGCGGATACCAGGGCATTGGTGCAAAGTCCCAATATATAAAAGTAAAGGGTCTGCGCAGCAGGACTGTAAAAACTACTGTGGTATCAGCCTTCTTAGCTTTGTGGGGAAATTATATGCTAAGTTATTAGTAGTTCAAGTAGTTCGCCGAGTAGTGGCGGTTAAAAATATACTCAATATCTTTGCGACAGAGGGAAACGGGCAGGATTTGGGCAGCAGCATCTTCCTGATAACTGTGGCAACTATGCCAATATACCCCATGAGCAACGACACAAATAGACAGCCCACAGTTCCCGGCAGCCTCGCTATTCCTGGCTACGGTGGCAACTATGGTAACGGCGGGGCAGGGAGTGCTAAGAATCTCTGGTGGAGGTCGGCCCTTGCAACATATAACGCACGTACCCTGGAGACTGACGGGAAGATCCTAAGATCCTGGCGCGGGAAGAAGAGGTAGACAAGTTGTGCTGGAATATTATAAGATTATTCGAGGTCCGAAGAGCGGGGGAGGACACAGTGATTCTCGAGTCCGGCAACTTGTTCTATCACCGGGAGGGCGACCATCTGTCACAAGGAGGAAGTGTTAGATTTATCGTCGACAAGTCTCTCGTTAACAACGTTATAAAGATTAGCAGTGTGTCGACGAGGGTTGCGTACCTTGTACTCAGAATCACCAAACGGTATTCGCTGAAGGTCATACAGGTTTACGCACCAACCTCGACACATCTTGATGAGGAGGTGGAGGAAATGTATGAGGATATTTCTAGAGCCATGCATTCATTTGAACTATTTCGTTTTAATGTGAGACTAACGCAAAGCATGAAAAAACGGTGAGCTGAAGGTAGGGAAATTTGGGATAGGGCAAAGAAACCCAAGGGGCCAGCAGCTGGCCGACTTCATGGAGAAAGAGGAGGTCTTTATGATGAACTCTTTCTTCCATAAGACACTACGACACTATTCCGATGATATCCCGGACGTCAGTCTGAGTGAGATTAGAATAGCTCTTCAGCACCTTAAAAACGGCAAGGTCCCGGGCAAAGATGGAATTACAGCGGAGCTTCTGAAAGCGGATGGAACACCAGTACTTAAAGGCGTTCAGAAGGTCTTAAATTTTATAATATATAATATAATTATATAATTCCAATAGTATCTCGAATAGCTTGGGCCTGGCAAGAATGACCCAGAGCTGAATTCAATGAATGTGAGCTGCAATGAACGTATAAGGCTTCTGGATGTGACTCACGAATTAAAACTTCCTTTCATCGAAGAAGCTCCATCATATCCTTGTCCGACTAAAATATTCGCAATCTACTCCCAAAGATTTTAATTCAGATCAAATTGCATTAGCTGAGCGCTTGAGTAACTAAAAATTTCAACTGCGGATGAGAGCCTTTACCTGCGCAATCTCTGGCAAATAATACACATTATTTGCATAAAGCACCTTGTTGCCCTGTGCTTAAATAAACCAACTGCGAGAACTGTTCACACCATTGAATTTGAAATTTTAGCTTTCTTTTATCGTCACTTACTGGAAACTTGAATGTCTTTTCTGGCATCCAAGGAGATTTTAACAATCTGTACTTTAAATTATCATCAATTTTGCTGTTTGATCCCATATAATAGCCCACATCTAAAACATGCTGAGAAACATCATACACAGTCCCAGGAACGGCAGCAGAAGTACCAGAACTACTTGTAACAGTATCACTGTCGAAGAAACTTGAACACTGATTTTCAGTAGAACCTTCACTACCAGTACCAGATTTAGATTTTTTAAATAAATATTTGAGTAATGTATTTTCTTGCGTCCTTTTTGCCATTTTAAATGTTGAACCGAACGGTAATAATTAAAAAAACAGCCAAGTATTAATTCCATTTGTACACAAATATTTACTTCGATAAAGATTTAAAAGAAAATGAATACGAGTAGGTAGTCTACTCTTTGGCATCAAATCCTTTTAATTTTAATTACAAAAATTATAACATCACTTACTTCAATACTAATTCACAACACTATTATTGCACACACTGCACTATTACTTCGCTTATATCGCCTTAGTCGCATTGGATCACTTTCCAAGACAGAACTGCCTCTCCGTGGTGTTTTTTTTTGCGCCCGAAGCAAAAAAGGGCTACCCTCCGGTAAACGGGGGAGAGGGGGGGGAGGCGGTGAATGCTCATAGCATATCACGCAGCCGGCTGCGTGGTTATGTGGAGACTTTTACCCACTAAACATCACCTTTTGATAATTGATAATAGAATCAGGCGTTACTTTGCGGAAATCCATTATAATTAAAGATATCAATTAATTTGCAACCTTCCGCTAACTAAATATAAGGATGTGGCTTACCTGGATTGAAGAGCACCTACCGCGCTCCCTCAATTGCATGCACCAATCCCGTCACCACTAATCCCAGCACCACTACTCCCAACACCAATATTCCAGGAAAGACACACCATCGACGATAATACGACACGTGTTTCGCCTCTACACGAGGCATCCTCAGGTGATGTAGACTCTACGGCGGCTGACCGCTCTTCAATCCAGGTAAGACACATCATTGTATTTAGTTAGCGGAAGGTTGCAAATTAATTGATATCTTTATTAACACCTTTTGAAGTTGGCTTAATGATCTGGCGAGAGATCTACCGTATCCCGTAGCCGTATCGAACGCGACCCCCCTTGGGAGAAAGAAGGGCGCCGGCGGCGTGTAGCCGCTAAAAGTGTGCCTAACTAAGGCAGATTACGAGATGAGATGTGGAGGCTCGGCCCGAGCCGCCAGGCGGCCGCCGCAGTTCAGGTCAGCCGAAAGCTTGTTTGACGGACGACTCCGCGCTCGACGGCTCGCTTATATATTCCGCAGTCTCATTCTATGCTTATTGAATATTCCCGAAGTTGCGTTGCTTGTGTACGCTCCCTAATAGATGTCGCTGCTCCGCTATTTGTATTATTATTATTAAGTATCGTCGTGCGAAACCAAGCTAGCATAAAGTCATACATAATAAAAATAATAGTAGGTAGAGAATTTTGTTTGTAGTAATTAACTATTATGTTGTGTAATATTATTCTTATATTTCGGGGGGACCAATCCCCCTTTGACCCCACCCCCTGGCTTACGGCCTTGTGTATGGTATTTCACAATGCTGTGTTAGTACCTACTTTAATGTATGGTAGTAAGAGTTGGGTGTGACAGAAGCACGAGTAGAATAAATTCTGCAAAATGTAGTCATTGAGGAGTATGTTAGGGCTGAATCTGAATGACAGGGTGAGAAATTGTGTGATAAGAGAAGAGTGTAGTGTGCAAGACGATGTTGTGACCAGGATTATGAATGGAATGTTTCTGTGGTTTGGTCATGTAGAAAGAATAAATGAGGAAAGGGACAAAACAAATTTATGTTGCAGAAGTGAACGGCAGAGTCTGGAAGGAACACCCTTTAGTCAATCAAATCTAAGAAATACCTTTTTACGTTTCACATTAATCATTCCGCAATAAGTTTGCATAAACGTACTGACACGATTTAAAATAACTACTTAATCCGAAGAATTATGAAGTTATCTATATTTCATTACAACGTGCATAATTTTCTATCACTAATTGAAATTCGAATCTTTCAAACAAAGCAAAATATTAAAAAATTAACCAGTATCAGTTTTTTACTTGATGTCGTTTCAATGATATGTCGCTATGTACCTTACCATAGTGTTTCGATGATTAAAATTTATTGTTATGCGAATAATCGCCAAAAATATTCAAATAATCGGTTAAAATTATTAAAATAATCGAATGTCTATTTTTTATTGTATTATTTGTTTAATTAAATTTTTATTTATAAAATTCCTTAAATTACATGAATCATGAATAAAACAAGTGCATTTTTTTACTTTCTCAACGTAAATTTTTGTTGGCAAAAAACTCATATACATACAAGGCCGCGCTGAAAAAATCACTACGTAATTTCAGTCTCCCGCCATTTCGGGAGCTTACTGTGCGTAATTTTGTGATTTTGTGTTTTTCTTCTTTTTTTGTGACTCGGCTTTAACTTTTTAGACTGTTTCTTCTATATTCTTTGAAGCATGTGCCCAAGTCACATTGGGCAAAAGTGGTAGAAAAAAAAAATTATTATGGATGACTGAAAGACACATTAATTTTAACTGCATTATTAAAAATCAAATAATAATTAATCCTAACAACGACAGCTCAACTAGTTGTACTGAAAGTGATAGCATAAATTTATTTGTAATCTAGTTTCAATCTTAAATTTTTATAACTGTGTCTGTAGAAATAAGCAGTAACGAAAATGCGAAGAAACTGATAAATCTTGTGTTTTAAATTATCTGTTTTTAATTTATTCTGGTATTATTCAAACCAAACTCTAAATGATTACCAACTCTAAATAATCGATATCAATTTTTTAAGAATCGAATATTGTAAGTTCCCATTTTTTGGTTGGCATGCTTGGTATAAGGCTGACAGCTGTCAAAATGTATTTAGATTTGTTGACTATAGACGAAAGTTTATCGAGTAAATTGGCGATATATTGGGAATGGCCCAAGTTAAGAGTACCCTAACCGACGAGCATGTATGCGTAAGTATATGTGGAGGAGGCGAGAGTGGTGTGTCAAGATCGTGCCAAATTGAAGTCCGTAGTTACTGCTTATCCCTCTGGGTGACAGGCGTGAGTGTTTATGTTATGCAGAATCTCTATTGAAGCAAAAAAACAACATCAAGCTGATTTTAAGTTATAGGTTATACAAAAATGATTAAATATTGTCTGTTCTGAGAAATTGTCAAAATACAGAGATATATTTTATTTTAATGTAGGCAAAGACATCTTTATATCTTAATTAAAAGTAATAATTCTTTTTAGGGTCAAAATGGGACACATTATCGCAGGAGATGTGGGACAAATTTATTAAATCCCAGCAGACAGAGGACACATTTAGGAAGAAGATGAATCTGTGGCGTTATCTTTACGTAACTATCAAGGTACGAGCACCATGTTTTTTGAATCCGTGTACATTTTGAACCAATAATTTGTCAGGATTGCTGTAATATGTTAAAATTTCATATTGGTGGCTGTTATTATTACAAAGTTTGTATTTTATCAATAAACCTGGTATTTTTTTTTATAATCAACAAAAAAAATATTGTTACGAGCTTGAGGTTCGTGACAATAAAATTGCCGATAGAATTACCTAAATTAACACTTTAATTCACTTTACACTAATAAAGTAAAAACACTAATAATTAATCACACTGATTCACTTTATTCCGCTCCGAAGCTTCGCTTGTCTCGCCAACTTCAATACTTCCCCGATCGCGTATTGCAGCGCCTTTATATAGGGCCTCTTCCACGAAAAAACAAAATTCCAAATACTGAAAAAACGCGCCAACCAACCAAGCGCAGAAAGTTCGAGTTTGGGGCTTCCAGAAAGCTTAGTTCTTCAATTCGATACTAGATGGCGCTGTCGGTTGAAAGATTAGTGATGACATTTTCTGGAAAGCTCTCTCTTCGCTCTGTTACCCGACACTAGATGGCGCTAGTGCCAGATGTCAACTTAGCCGCGCAACACTGCCCCCCTCCTAAGACATGCTCGTCCCGAGCATTATCGGCCCAATAATAACGCGCCAGGCGATCCACATGGACGATCTTAGGAGTCCCTCTTGCGCATTTCTGTATCAGGTAGGTTACATCGTTGATCCTGGTCACAATCCGGTACGGGCCGTCCCATTTAGCTTGAAGCTTAGGAGATTTCCCTTTGCTGCGGACTGGATTGTGCAACCACACTAGCGAACCTTCGTCGAAGCCTTTATTGTTCATTTTGCGGTCGTACCGGGTTTTCAGCTTTTCAGACATTTGCTGGCCCGATTGTCTGACGTACTCATGAATGTCATTCATTTTGTTCCGCAAGTCATTTGCATAAGGTTATACTGCGGGGGCATCAGGTGGTATCCCGGTGATCAGGTCTGCAGGCAGCCGTAATTCTCTTCCAAAGTTTGCGAAAGCTGGTGTCCCTGCTGTACTTTCGTGAACAGCGCTTCGATATGACAACAAAAACGGTTGTATGTGCTTGTCCCAATCTTGTTGCCGATTGTCTACAACTTTTGCTAGGTATCTCCAATGTCTGATTAAATCGTTCTACCATTCCATCAGATTGCGGGTGATAAGAAGTCGTTCTTGTTTTGTGAGTACCCATAACTCGGCAAGTTTCCTGGAAAGTAATCCATCACAACCATGAAATACTTGTTACCGCTTTCACTCTCCGGAAACGGTCATGCCACGTCAATAGCTATTCTCTCCCGTGGTGCACCTTGTACAACGCTTCAATGCACCTCTACTACGAGTCTGAGGTCCCTTTACAGCCGCACAACTTGTACATTTGCGACACAAGTCCTCGACAGCGTTTCTACAGTGGACCCAGTAAAACCGTTCTCGGATCTTCAGTAGAGTTCGTTTACCTCCCAGATGGCCTCCTGAACAATCATTATGGTACAGCTGTAGAACATCCGGTACTTTAGCTTTAGGGACAACCATTTGCAAATGACAGCTGTCTCCCCGAACATTTTCCCATTTACGACACAGAACTCCATCCTGTAGCAGCAAGCTGTCCCACTGGGCCCAATAGCTTTTGGTGGTCGAACTCATCGCTGAGGCATCACTCCACTTGGGCTTGGGAGCACTGGCTTTTATCCATTCCAGAATCGGCTTGATGTCCGGATCTTCCTGCTGTGCATGTAGTAAGCTGTCCTTTCACTCGTTGCTGAGGTGGTCTGCCCTGAGCATCCTCACGGATACCAGTTCCTTACTCTCTTGCCTAGTACAATGTTTGCAATCTTCAGGACAAGGTCTTCTTGACAATGCATCTGCGTTGCCATGAGATTTCCCGCTGCGATGTTCGATCTCAAAGTCGTATTCCTGCAGTAGTTCAATCCACCTCGCAACTTGTCCTTCTGGGTTTTTAAACTGCAATAGCCATTTTAGTGCAGCATGGTCAGTTCGTAAGTGAAATTTTCGTCCCAGAAGATATTTGCTTAAATGTTGCAACGACTTTACCGCAGCTAGCAATTCGCGTCTTGTGACACAATAGTTCCTTTCCGGTTTTGACAACGACTTGCTGAAGTACGCTATCACGACCTCTTGGTCACCATTCCGTTGAGACAACACACCGCCAAGTCCTATATCACTTGCGTCTGTGTCAACTATAAATTCTTTGCTTGCATCAGGGTATCCCAAAATAGGTGTTTTGCACAGACGGTTCTTGAGCTCCTGGAATGCGATATTGCATCATTCATCCCAGCGGAAAAGTCGCTTCTCCTCGGTTAGCTTATGCAGAGGTTTGGCTATATCTGCAAAGTTCTTCACAAACCGCCGGTAATAGGAGCACAAACCCAAAAATGCTCTAACCTGCGTCTTGTCTTTTGGAACCGGCCAATCGTTGACGCTGTTTTGATCGTGCGGTCTCTTCCGATACTACATACCCCAAAAAGTTAACTTGCCGTTTGAATAGTGAACATTTCTTCGGACTCAACTTGAGGTTGGCACTCTGAATCTTCATGAGCACGCGTTCCAGGTTTTGAAGGTGTTCCTCAAACGTACGACCTACGATGATGATGTCATCCAAGTAGACCAGACAGGCATCGCCAATTAGCCCGGTAAGTACAAGTTCCATCAGCCTTTCAAACGTTGCTGGAGCATTGCACAACCCAAACGGCATTACTTTAAATTGCCACAGACCCTTTCCCGTCGATAACGCAGTTTTCTCCTTGTCCTTAGGGTCAATTTCAACTTGCCAGTAGCCACTTTTTAGATCCAGCGTGCTAAACCACTTTATTCCTGTAAGCATGTCCAGCGTGTCATCAATTCTTCGCAAGGGATAGCTGTCCTTCTTTGTAACGTGCAGACGGCGGTAGTCAACACTAAACCGTATGCTGCCATCCTTCTTTTTTACCAGCACCACGGGTGAACACCATGGACTAAAGGAAAGTTCAATAACACCATCCTTTACCATTGCTTCAATCATGGTTTCCACTTGCTTTTCACGTGCTACCGGCAATCTTCTTGGCCGCTGACGGATAGGCAATTCTTCTCCTGTGTTTATTTTGTGTTGAACTAAGCCAGTCTTTCCTATGTAAGTATCGTTTGATGAGAATACATCGGCATACTTGAGTAACAACTTCTCCGCCTTGACCATTTCGTTCGGGGAGAGAACGCTGCGACAGTCTTCCAAAAGTGTGGTCACTCTCGTTTGTGCATCCTTGCTGGGGGTCTCACTCGATAGATATTGGCACCGACGTAACCAATCCACTTCCTCACAAGTACCAACCAGCGTGCCTCTTTCTATAATCTGTTCCCGGTCACAAAGGTTCAGCACACGTACTCCTGAGATGTCAGTGGTTCTGACCAAGGTTCGAGCTACTTTCCATGGAAGGTCATTGTTTACCCTTTCCACAAGTACACAACGGTGAGCTTGCCCAGCGTTTCGAGGAAGACTAACCGGAACAATCGTTTCCGATCTCGGCGGAAGAACAATCTTCTTAATGCTGTACACGTTCCCTGGTAACGCACCTTCCATAAAAAGTTCCTCCTGTCCACATTTCAAAACACCTTGCTTAACGTCGATCTCACAACAGTTATTCCTCATAAAGTCTAGGCCTAGGATGCAGTCGTCCATTATATCAGCCACGATGACATTATGCAGGTAGATCACGTTGCCTAGCTTCAACTCCATCTCCTTCTCTCCACGGACGGGTATACGCTGACCGGTGGCTGTTACCAAATTAATGCGTTCTCGCTTATATGCGGAGTTCCCAAGGAACTGACTTATAAGTTGGGAACTAACAACCGTACGAGAGGCTCCAGTGTCTATGGTCAGTTTACACGGCATTCCGTTGACCTCGATGATTAGACTGTTCCCATCAGACGCCGTGGTAGCTTAGATGGTTAACGCTCGCTGTAAATATAACAGAATGCGAGTAACCCGGGTTCGATCCCCGCCGGCACCAATGAAATTGTTAAATGCAATTTTAAGTGCTGATTTACCACGTGCTCAGCGTTGAAGGAAAACATCGTGAGGAAACCTGCATGTCTGAGAAATAAGAAAAAAATATTTCGAAGACATGTGAAGTTCGCCAACACGCATTGGGGCAGCGCGGCGGACACTTCCTTGCCCTAAAACCCTCTCAGAAATGAGGGGAGGCCTGTGCCCAGCAGTGGGACGTATATAGGCTGTAACTTTACTTTTACTTTACATCATGGGTTTGTGAGATCGAGATCCTTGGGGCTCTTTTAACATCAGCCAGCACCCGCCCCGCAGTTCTGGCTTTTACTCATTTCCCTGCTGCTGCTGGGCGGTGCTGTTGGCCGCACTACCCTCCTGAGATCGTTCACCTTCCCTTTCTAGGGTTCGCTTAGGGCAGCTGGATCGAAGATGGCCCTTTTCCCCCACAGCCATAGCACCTAGGGCTGTTATCCTTTGTTGCGGTCGCGAACTGTAGCTTCTGCAACCTCCCTGACGCGATGGAAACGATGATCCTGCCGCACGGCTTCTACCCCCAGTGCATGGGCCAAGGCGTCCTCTCAAAGCGTCTCGTGGTGCCCGAGCCTCACAGCTGCTCTGACTTCAAGGTCGCGGATGCCGTCGATGAATGTCTGCACCAGGTTCCCTTCAATGAGCGCAGGTACAGACCGGTATGCTTTTCGCACCAGCTTCTCCACCTCTAGAGCCAACTGCTGCAGGTTTTCGTTGATGCGCTGCACGCGATCTATAAGCTGCGCACTAAAGACGTGTTCCAGGTGAGCGTCGCCATATCTCGCCTCCAATGCCTCTAAGAGTTGCTCATAAGTCACTTCCTCACCGAGAGCTTCCAGAACTGTTAAGGCCTGCTCGCGCAGGCCTAGTGTGAGAGCAGTCATGGCCTCACTTTTATTCCAGCCGTTCGCCTTCATAACAGCGTCGAACTGGATTTTGTAGGCTGAACAGGAAGAAGTCCCGTCGAACGTTGGCACTTTGAACCCACGTAGCGAAGGTATAGTAGCTACTACGGGAGCCATTGTTTCATCCCCAAGTTTGAGGACGTCCAGCGTTTTCTTCACGTCAGCCATCACGTTGTCAACCCGATTGTTCACTTGGTCGATTCGGGTTTCAGATTTCTCAATTCGGGTTTCAGCTTCTGACAGGCGGTTGTCATGTTGAGCAACCCTATCCTTCACCTCCTTCATCTCCTTCCCGAAGGTAGCGTGAAGGTCCTTCATAAGGAGCATCTGCTCTTCCAACCGACGTGCCTGTTCCTCTTGTCGGCGGGTCTGAGAGCACCTAAGTCAGGTGCTGCAGATGTAGGAGCTACTGACGGGCCTGTAGCTGGCGGCTGGCCCTCCGACGTCTGCGGCGTTGCACCACCAAATCTTCTTTGGTCCGTCTCCTGCTGGCGTTGACTTCGGGTACGGACACCCTCCGTTTCCTCCTTAGGTAAAATCGGCATGATTTTATCCCACTTCTGACACCAATTGTTACGAGCTTGAGGTTCGTGACAATAAAAATTGCCGATAGAACTACCTAAATTAACACTTTAATTCACTTTACACTAATTAAAGTTAAAAACACTAATAATTAATCACACTGATTCACTTAATTCGCTCCGAAGCTTCGCTTGTCTCGCCAACTTCAATACTTCCCCGATCGCGTATTGCAGCGCCTTTATATAGGGCTCTTCCACGAAAACATCCAGAATATTCCAGATATTCGAGTAAATACGTGCGCGCCAACCAACCAAGCGAGAAAGTTCGAGTTTGGGGCTTCCAGAAAGCTTAGTTCTTCAATTCATTCGATACTAGATGGCCCTGTCGGTTGAAAGATTAGTGATGTCATTTTCTGGAAAGCTCTCTCTTCGCTCTGTTACCCGACACTAGATGGCGCTAGTGCCAGATGTCAACTTAGCCGCGCAACAATATTATTTAAGGGATACCTTTTGCTATTGGGGATCTGCATTATCGCCATATTTCATTAACTGTATTTTGTGTTAGATATCTCGATCCTCGATCCTTTGTCGCTTCATCTAGTCATTGTATTATGCATGATGGTTTATCATTATCTTCATCAACGCATAAGAAGTGCCCTGTCGGACGTGGGAGTTTTCTTGTTGTATGGGAGGGGGTTGAATATTACCATTTGGCGGGATTTATGTTTCACTGTTTTTACAATAATTCATTCCGTATTAACTGCCAGAACCTCATGCAGTATTCAGTAGGGCGCTTACCGCTTCTTTTGACTGTCTAGTAAAAGAGACAGAAAAGTACACTTAATCCATCACACTAAAAAGCAGTGTTTATTATGTTTAAAGTAAAGAAACCTCCGTGCATTCTTCTATTTTAATTGAAGTCTTTAAGAAATTAGATATTTGGACAGAAATCATATATTTTCCCAGCACGGCCTTGAACCTCTGCATTAATCTACTTACTGCACCTCTTACCAGTAGATCTGTTAGCCAATCTTGTTGATATCAAAATGAAAGTTACTTTGTATTACATTGCGTCGTATGTTTTAAGAGCTTTGGTAGCTCTGATAAAAAGCTGTAGAACACGCAATGTGTCAACAAAGTTAGCCATTAAGCCTGCAGGTCATCACACGTACCGTTCATACATAAGCTATGTGTGGACGTGAAAGATATTCGATTAAACGGTTTTTATAAAAAGTAAATTATTTTGCATGCATATGAAATATATACAAATAACACTTAGATATTTTTATTAATTATTTTTATATTGAAATTCGCGAATGTGTGTGTGGACCTCTTCACACTTAGATTACCGGTACGAAGCTGCCATTTGAAAAGTATTCTTCCCCGTCTATAAGGCCGGCCCCCCACTAGATAGATCGGCTCATTTGTCATTTCAGCTTTCAGCCTTACGTACTAACGCGTACAGGTGTATACGCGTACAGGGCGCCTTTATGCATTGCGGAATTATGAACGTGTGGTGACAAGTCGCAAGTCGGCCAGCCAGTATCCGCCATGGCTCGAAACACCATCACCACTGCGACACTTCTTGTTGTGGAACCAAAAGCCGACTGGCGACGACTAGCCGCGAGTCGACACGCGTGCTCAAATTGTATACGCGTTGCTGCAGTTACGGACTAAGAGGTTCCGTGTGCGCTTAACCGACGACGCGTACATTGGAACACGTGGTCTGTACAAGACTTCACAGTACAAAAAAATTCCACGTACACACAATGAATAGGCATTTTATAGGTTAACGTGTTTACCATATACCCTATCAACAAAGTAATAATTTATAAAAAATTCTGCAGTCGATCTTCCCGCGCTACGGACTTTACGTGGTGGGGTCCACGATGTCCGGCTTCGCGCTGGACAACTCTGACATGGACCTGTGCCTGTACGTGCGCGCGTTGGCCCACGTGGAGCCACGTGCTCATGCGTTACTGCACCTCAACTATGTGCTGGGGTACATTCGCAGCTTTGATCCAGGTCACTCCTATTTACTATACGATCATTATATTAAAATGGTTTATGTATATAAGATTGATGTTAGCTTCATGTTCATGTATTCAAACGTTTAGAAATAACTTTTTTTTTTACAAAACTCGACCTTATTTAAAAAAAAATAATTTAAATAAATTTTTATTTGCAAATTGTATGTGGTTTTATTACTCTGTATTGTCCGTGGAGTAAAAGGATTGTCCAAAACCTTGCTTTGCCGATGCGCTTGTCAGTTAGAGATAATAAAACAACATAAAATTTGCAAATATTTATTTTTAAATTAAATAATTTAAAAAAATAATGTTCGAGTTTTTTGAAAAAATTTATTTACGTTAGAATACTGATTCTGATAACGCACTCAACGGGAACCACAGGGTTTTTGTTACATTTTGTGTAATACAATAATGTAGTATTAAGTCCGCCCTGTCTCATTCTTCTGTTTAAGGAATGCAATAAAAAAAAAAAAATATCTTTCTTCCTTGAATTTGAAATTGCGGCTTAAATAAAACAAAGACAAGTAAACTATGCATTTATTTTTTTCCTTAAAAAGGTACCTCCATTTCGTTAGCACATTTTCCCTTGCATACAAACACATTAATCTAAATAAAATGTTCATTTTTTACGTTCGTAGTGCCAATGTCAAACACATACGTCTTTGAATAAAATTAGTAATTTTATATAAGTAACAATTATATAAGTAAATTTAAGAAATCATTACATAATAGTCTATAGTAAAACAGTCACACAGAGTGGAGATCAAACAGTATGCATATAATCATTATCCGTAGACATTGTCGCCAAAGAATCTAAAATGTTCCTAATTAATCACTAAAAGATTGACTGAATGATCGGTGAATTTTGAACGATTTCAAATGTTCCTTTACAATAGTTTGTGTATGTATTAGGCAGTGATAGTGTAGTGTATATTAAGTATATGTATGTAAGTATATAATGTATATTAAGAAAGTGTTGAACTCAAATTCACACAATTGTAACAATTCTATCAGTGTTGCCTACTTGACGGGTTTCCCGCTAGATTTGACGGATCAGCGAGGTTGGCAACGGGAAAAAATTGTGTTCAACGGCTAACGGGTTTTTTAACGGGACGGTTATAGATATTATAAAACGGATGTATGTATATACTTTGGTAGATTGAATTCTAAAAAATAATCCATATGTGTCAAGAATCGATATCAAATCAATTCATTTTTAATATTTAAGGGGAATGAAAACTCGAATATCCGTACTTGACGGGTTTTGACGGGATTATAGTGTTCTCTACAGCGGGAGCTAGATTTGAATGTTGGCAACACTGATATCTATTTAGTGGCGTGGAAACCGCGATCTGGATCACACGTGCTAACGCAAAAAATATTTTTGAAATTCCGAATTGTGTGATGCGGAAGTGTAAAAATTAATATTCCAAAATAAAAAAAGACAAAGTTTTGCAAGAGTTTCGTATCACAAGTAGGTTTGTTCAAAATTATCTTACATTTAGATCATTTTACATTAAATTTAATAATTATTACGTTTTTAGAAGAAATTTTCTACTTTGTTGTAAATAAAGGACAGAGTATACAATTTTAACTGAGTGTAAAAGGGATAGCATTAACTTGAACGTCATAACGTCTTTAAGTATCAACTATCTCTTTCCCACACGCACAATCCGTATACTCCTTCGCAGTCATTTGAAAAAACAACGTGTATCGATATAATAAGTAATAACTATGTATATGTCAAAACGGAACAGGTTTAGAAATACGTGAAGTATCAACATGCGTCATCTACCTCCTTTATAATATACACTATCATTGGTATTAGGTATGTTTTATATATTAATGTGCGGTTGAAAATGTAATACTGCAATAATAATAAATATATATATATATATATACTCAAAATTATGAGTAACAGTCGAATTAAGGCTATTAGGTGACCACTAGTATTTATGAAAATGTTTGTAGGTGCTGAACTAATCCAAGCAAAAGTGCCCATACTGAAGTTCCGGGACGCGCGGAATGGGCTTCAAGTGGACCTCAACTGCAACAATGTGGTTGGCATCAGAAACACAAACCTGCTCAACTGTTTTTCCAGAAGTAAGATCTTTTATATAATTTTTTTTCCTTTTTCCCTTATATTTAAATTAGCTGAAAGGTGATTTTTTTTTTAAGATTTCAGTAATCAATTGTCATATAAAATTTCTGTATTTCTTATATATTCATATTCAGAACTTTTTTTATTAGATGACTAATGTACAACGACTGTGTTACATTCAAATGATAAATTTTAATTGAAATCGTTATTTTTTATGTAGGATAGGGTGACATACTACAGTCCATACATAGCACAGTTCACTTGATGGTAAGTGGTTGCTGTGGTGACCCATTCGTGCTACAACTATACTCGTAATATAACTGCGGCGTGGCTCTACCACGTATTAAATAATTTGCAATTGTACTGTTTTGACATTAGATTTCTGTGTTTACAGATACAAGGCAAAGTTTCCTCGTAATACCTAATAAACAACCAAAAGCTATGAAGTCGGTTTATTTTTTAAAGGAATTCAATTATTTTTTGACAAATTCGCTGTCAGTGTCTGTCTGTACTACTACCACCACCGTAAAAAAAAATTATGCTCGTAATTTAGACAGGGACACACTCCTACTAAAGAACCTCTCATGTGGCTCATTTTTTCGTTTAGCAGGGTTGTATTAAAACTGGACAGTTATTTATTGTGCAGAACGAATTGTCTAGTGCACATATTTATATCTTTGACTTACTGTCGTATTTGGCATAATATAAAGAGACCAAAATGACCACTTGGCATTTCTTTTTCCACGCATGAATTATAAGCAAATTTATCAATAAATTTGTCTCTTTTTGCCTTATCTGAAAATATAATTTGAAAAAGCAAGACAAGTATATTGTTTCAATTTATGTAGAATTGTAGGTTGTAGGTTCTCTCGTAATGGTATTTCTCTCTGATACATATGTATGAAGAGTTTGTACCTATAATAATTTGTAGCTCAGGAACGGGATGGATAGTTTGTTTGTGACACTGAAAGTAATTTTTATTAGGTAACTTAGTTAATTTGAATTTTATCGTACAATTTAATAGGACCCTTTTAGTGCGTGCAATTATCTATTTTTACGTACTCCACAATGCACTTTAAATGCTTTAGTAAGAAGCAATCTGGAAAACAGTGCTATCATCTGGAATCCTTATGAAATCAAGTATAACCTCATGCTGGAGAAAATGTAAAATAAGTTTACCTGGTACCAGTATTATGTATCCAACCCTTTTTGTAATAGGAATGGTTGGATATTATGTTGGAGGTTAGACGGAACTTTGCGCTACTTAAGTACATATTTTTGATCTTACGTGGTAAGTTAAACAATCCGGAAATTCTGGAATAGTCTGTTCTAGGCTGCGACAGGGGCCGAGGGAAGGGTTGCTGGTCCTACCAGTTGCTCGTACAAATCTGTTAATGTACGCACCGGATGTTCGCGCGGCTAGAATGCTTTACATCGTAGCACAACGATTGGAAATATTCACTTGTGTATTGGGTGACATTAAACTATTTGTCATTTTTACATTAGTGACCACATTTTTACATTAGACTCCACTCCTGTAATGACAATTGTGTTAGTAAATAAATAAAAATAAACAAATGAAAAAAAGTTGATGTGCAATACAAGGCAAAATTTCAGTTTAACAGTCTTATTTTTTTATTGTGCGCTCGCAATAATGTTGAGAATTTTTTGTATTGTATTGGTAATATATTTTTGGATTGGGATATAATTTACGGGTTTTATCGCGTATATAATATGAATTTGAATGAGGCTGCACTGCCCCATATCGTCCCGTGTGTGTCGTAATAGGTGATGAGGGAAACAAGCCAAGAGATGGGCAACTGGACTGTCCTTAATAGTGACTAAAAAAATCAGTTGCCAAACCGCTTGCCAAGCATGGCAACGATGGCAAATATCTTCCAGGCAACCTATTAAGGAGACCTATGAAGCAGTGACTTTATTTATGAATTTCGATAGGCTGTAATGGTAATTGTGAACGAGGCTTTAGAGTGACAACGCATCTTCATTTGATCCTTAATGGAGAATAGGTCTAGGTTTCAATGTGCCACAGATTCCATTATCTATCTGTTGGCTCACTGTGTCACCCTTATTGTATAAAATGTCATAGTATCTGCTGCAAAGTAATTGAAACATTGAGACTAAAATAAAGTTAACAATAAAAGCAGTAATGCAGATGTTGCTATTTGGAACTAGAGTTACCAGATGACAGGAATTATCCCGACATGTCTGGAATTTTAGGAAGAGAATTTGAAATTGTCAGAATTTTTTTAAATTGAAATTACAATATTAATTAAAAAGTTTAATCACAAAAATAATGATAAATGAATCAACTCTCAACAATGAAATTGTTAAATAAATCTGATCTGGCTCGTTCTTTTTATTCTTGGATATTGCACAAAATTTCAAACACATGTGCGAGTTATAACAATTCGATATTTATGCAGCATGTTCGTCAATCGTCGTAATTAGGAAATTTATTGGAAAGCCAGGGTTTTTACAAGGAAACCTCATTTACAGATCTGGTAACGTTAGTTGGGAGTGTGCCGTATTCTTAAATTTTTTTAAATTTTTTATTTCTACTACTTTTAAGAATATCCATAGCTTGATTAATCTATTTCTAAGGTAACTAGTTATAATAATTACCTTAGAATTGATTAAACTATTTATAAAGTAATCTTAATATTTATAAATTACGTGTCACGTTGTTTGTCCGCGATGGACTCCTAAACTACTTAAAAACCGATGTACGGGCTGCAGCACGTACATTTTTGTGGCGTCGGCAGTTTACGCTATTACTTTACTTTACTTTACTTATCTTCACGCACAATCCCTAACGGGGTAGCCAGAGAGAACAGATCGCCAAGTGTCACGATCCTTACATACCTCTTTCGCTTCTTTCAGGTTCATTAACTTCTTCATACATGCACGTCTAGGTATCCGAGTACTCTTGACCCTCCCCTCTTCAAGCAATTTGCTCACATGGTCTTCGAAAGTTAGTCTCGGTCTACCTCGACACCTTTTAATATTTACTTTCGCTCTATATATTTTCTTCACCATTCGGTCTTCACTCATTCGTTCAACGTGCCCAAACCATTGGAGTACGCCCCTATCAATTTTTGTGATAAGGTCATCTTTCAATCCTGCCATATTGCGAATCTCTTCGTTTCGCTTTCGGTCGGCTAAGGTAACGCCACACATTTTACGAAGAGATCGCATCTCCACTGCATTCAACTTGCTTTTATGCTTCTTCTGGCATACCCAGGTTTCGCTGCCATACAACAAAGTCGGTACCAACACTGCATTATGTATTGCAAGGCGTGCACTCTTCACCACGCCTTGCCTTTTTACTAATGCATTCAGGGCACCATTGACTTTGTTTCCGGCAGCGACACGCCTGTCCACATCTAAATCACATCTTCCATCCCGGCTGAAAGCACTCCCCAAGTATACAATTTCATTTACCTGTTCTAGACATTCCTGATTTACCCATATTTCACATTTCGTTCTCTCTTCGTCCTTTTCAAATACCAGAACCTTAGTTTTATTAGCATTCAAACGGAGACCTTTAATTTCACATTCCTCTTTCATACACGTGACTAATGCCTGCAGTTCTGCTTCTGATGGTGCAATAAGCACTGCATCATCAGCATACAGCAGACAATTAACTTTTATGTCACCCAATTTCACTTTTTGAAATTGAGTTTACGCTATAACGCTACAATAATGCATTTTGAGTCAGTGCGCTAATTGAGCCCAGCAACACCGGTCACGCGTGCTCGCACTATCATTTCCCATCTATCATTAAATTAGATTTAGTTGGTTCTATCATCATCATCATCATCATTACAGCCCTTCACAAGTCCACTGCTGAACATAGGCCTCCCCCAAGTAATGCCACAAAGCACGGTCCTGAGCCACCTGCATCCATCGATTTCCTGCATGTCTTACCAGGTCGTCACTCCATCTAGTGGGGGGTCGCCCTACACTACGCCTACCGGTACGAGGCTGCCACTCGAGAACCTTTCTTCCCCATCGGTTATCGGTTCTTCGAGCTATATGGCCGGCCCATTGCCACTTCAGCTTACTAATCCGTTGGGCTATGTCGGTCACTCTGGTTTTACTGCGGATATCCTCATTTCTGAGTCTATCACGCAGAGAAACTCCGAGCATAGCCCTCTCCATAGCTCGCTGAGCGACCTTAAGCGTCCTCATACGGCCAGCAGTGAAGGACCACGTCTCAGATCCGTAAGTCATCACTGGCAACACGCACTGATTGTACAATCTAGTTTTTAGAGATTGAGGTATACCTGACGAAAAAATATGTCGTAATTTCCCGAACGCTGCCCAGCCGAGTTGAATCCGTCGATTGACCTCTCGGTCGAAGTTGGACTTACCTAGTCGGACTATTTGTCCCAGGTAAACGTACTCGTCAACAACTTCGAGCATAGTGCTCCCAACAACTACCGGCACAGGTGTGACATGGACATTAAACATGATCTTTGTTTTGTCCATGTTCATCTTAAGACCTATCCGTTGGGAGGCACTATTGAGGTCATTGAGCATAATGCTTAAGTCCTCCAGCGATTCTGCCATAAGGACTATATCGTCGGCAAATCGAAGGTGAGTGATGTACTCGCCATTGATGTTAATACCGTATCCTTTCCAGTCCAGTAGCTTGAAATCGTCTTCCAACGCAGCGGTGAAGAGTTTCGGGGATATAACATCACCCTGTCTTACACCTCTCTGCAGTTGGATAGGTTTCGAACTCTGGTTCTGTACTCGGATAGCCATCGTAGCCCTACTGTACAAACACTTCAGCACTTCGATGTACCGACAGTCAACGTGGCACCGCTGAAGGGACTGTAGCACCGCCCAAATTTCGACGGAATCAAAGGCTTTCTCATAGTCCACATATGCCAGGCAAAGTGGCAGATTGTACTCTTCGGTCTTCTGTACAATCTGCCGCAGGGTGTGTATGTGGTCTATGGTACTGAAGCCTTTTCGAAAACCGGCTTGTTCGGGAGGCTGGAAGTCGTCGAGTCTGCGTGCGAGACGATTCGTAATGACTCTCGAAAATAGCATGTAGACGCGTCTCAGAAGAGAAATCGGTCTGTAGTTCTTCAAGAGAGCGTTGTCGCCTTTCTTAAAGAACAAAACCACCGAACTTCTGCTCCACGCCTCCGGAGTAGTGCCACCATGGAGGACGGAATTGAAGAGCTTCTGAAGGACTTCAAGTACCGGTGTTCCACCCGCTTTCAGAAGCTCCGCTGTAATTCCATCCTCGCCCGGGGCCTTGCCGTTTTTAAGATGGTGGAGAGCCATTCTAATCTCGCTCAGACTGACGTCCGGGATATCATCGGAATAGTGTCGGATAAGGTTCTATCAATAAAATATCAATTATCAACTTCCCAGTATTGACTATCATTTACTATCAACTACTATCAACCGACCACGTGGGGGGTCCCGACGCAGTCCATGCAACCGATTTTAATCAAATTTGCACACCGTGTGCACCTTGGTCCAACTTGAGAGATAGAAGAACAAACTAAAAGATCCATTAAAACCCGCGTCAAAGAACATATAGCTGATGTGAAGAATCGACGCTCCGGGAAGTCTGCAGTCTGTGAACATGTACAGGATCGCCCCCGTCACTACATCAGATTTGATAGACCACAAATCCTCGCTAAAGAACACCGATTCCTTCCAAGGATGATTTGCGAGGCTATTGAAATCAAAAAACATCCTAATTTCAATAGAGAAGATGGCTGGGTGCTACCATCTGCTTGGGATCCTATAATAAATAAAATTAAATCCCAACCCAAGCATACAACTGCAAGACTCCATGATACCATAAGTTCATACTGTGTAGATCGGAACAAAAGTTAAATTTTAATCTATGGTAACCGCGGTTAACTATGACAGCTGTACGTTGAACATCTCAGTCCGTCCCGTGAGTGACCATGGGTGCTGTAAAGCTCTCGAAACGTCGGGTAATTAAAAAGTTAAATATACGCGATAAATTCCGTAAAAACTAGTATTATTTCAATGTGTAGTGTTCGCGTAAATATAAGAAATCATTAGATAGGATAGTTTTGCCCATGAGTGACCCACAATATTTTTGCGAATTTAAGGATTTTTAATAGGACATAACAAAGGGCAGAACAACATCTGCCTGGCAAGCTAGTTAATTATATTAAATACCTTAGGAATTGATTAATCAAATATTGTATTTTATTTATTATAATTAACAATACGTTATATTTTTTACATAACTAATATTTCAATAAGAAACATAAATCTTTAAACTTTTTAACAAATATAATTTTATATGTGGTAGAGCCATGCTGCAGTTATATTAGTAGTATAGTTGTAGCACGAATGGGTCGGCTCGACCAGGGAAGGACCACGCTCTCACAGAATACCAGCGTAAAATAGTAGCTTAATGCTGCTGTGTTTCGTATGGTGAGTGTAGAGAACTGGAGACCCTTTTTACTGGAAACGAGGCATTCCATCTTAGTCCTCACGGGTGACAACGCATCTGCATTTTGATTTGTAATCGAGGATAGATGTAGATGTCTATGGGCCGCAGCAACCACTTACCATCAGGTGGACTGTGTGCTCGCTTGTCACCCTATGCTATAAAAAAATCTTTCTCGCTATGAAATCTCAATTATTTCATCTTATGCCAAAATGGCGCCGTCCCGGTGGTAAAAAAGTCTTTGATGCCTTTATTGTGTGTGTGATACTCGTATATAAATGTAAGAGACAATTCGGTTCGTTAACGTTGTGTACGTGTCGAGCAGTGGACTGGCGAGTGCGGCCGCTGGTGGCGCTGACCAAGCTGTGGGCGCGCGCGCACCGCATCAACGACGCGCGCCGCCGCACTCTCTCTTCCTACGCGCTCACGCTCATGGTCATACACTTCCTGCAGTGTGAGTGTCGTGATCTACACTACATACTATACATACTTCACAGTACACACTGTATGTTACATACTACACACCTTGTTAACTGTCTTGTTGGTCGAGTGGTTGTAGCATTCTGGCCAGAAAATCAATTATTGAGTTTTCCGTCAAGAAATTCTCAGTAGCTGCCCGGAGTCAGAGGGTGTTCATACCCGTGCTTGGAAAACGTGTAAAGCTGTTGATCCTGCGCCTGATCTCGCTCCGGTCGTGTCGGTTTACCGTCCCATCGGATTATGAGAGTGAGACAATAGAGAGTCCGCCTGTGCTTGCGCATACACTTGGGCGCTATAATCTGGTCCTGTGCCAATGGCTAGTCTCTGTTGAGGCAGCATTACTACACACACTGGCATATCACACTTGACACAGTAGCTGCCCGGAGGCAAGAAGTTGGCAGTGTCTCATCCCCGTGCTCTGGAAAGCGTGTAAAGCCGTTGATCCTGCGCCTGATCTCTCTCCAGTCGTGTCGGTTTACTGTCCCATCGGATTGTGAGAGTGAGAGAATAGAGAGTGCACCTGTGCTTGCGCGTACACTTGGGCACTATAATCTATCATGCGCCGATGGCTAGTCTCCGTTGATGCAGCATTACTACACACCGCACACTGGCATATCACACTTGACATAGTGCACACGCGCAGTACGCGCGTGATGCTGACGGTGCACCGTGTGTGCAGGTGGCACGAGCCCGGCGGTGCTGCCGCGCGCGGGCGTGGCGCTGTCCGGCGGGGGCGCCTGGGCCGCGGGGGGGTGCCGCAGGGGCAGCGGGGGGGCGCCGGCGAGCGCCGCTCGCACAACCGCGCCACGCTCGCGGAGCTCTTCCTGCACATGCTCAAATACTACGCAGACTTCCCGTGAGTACACCTCTTTATAACCATTGCCTGAATGGTAAGCCATACACTCGAAGGTATACTACCTATCAGGTTTGCTTTTATAATTAAATCAATCAAGTAAACGTAAGCTGAGTAGGCTACACACACGTAGCGGTTATGCAACGTCACGCTCCGATAAAACCTGTCAGGTGCACCCTAGCGTGTATGGCTACCATAACGCCACTATACACGTGGGATAATATACACCTAATTCTAAATGTAGTTTGTGAATAATCCTTTAATCTATATTACATTTCCTCAAACTGTTATTTTTTAAATAAAAATTCTATGGAATTGTTGTAATTTTAAATTCTGTGAAACAAAAAGAGATAAATAAGATTTAGCCTACGAGAAAATGATATAGAATACAATATACAATGTTTTCCTATTATCTTGATGTTCTTTTCTAAATCCTTCACTTCTACTGCGTGTGAACTGCACACAAGTTTTTTTTAAGAATACAGGGCAATAAAACACACAGTTCACCTAACAGTAAATGGATGCTACAATCCATGGATACTCTATCCTCGCTACATCTATTGCAGTGGTATGTGCCTCCCTCCTGCCAATAGTGTGTATTTGATCAAAAAATGCGACAAGTAGTTTTGTCCAATCTCTCTTGATGTTAATCTTACACTACCCAAAGAATTCTGAAGAGACCAAAACTGGTTAAAATCTGAGGGTGCAAGGTTGGGACTATATGATGGATGCATTAACACTTCCCAACCAAGCTCTCTCAATTATTGCTTAGTGGCCAAAAATGTGTGTATCTGCGTTATCATGATGAAAGACCACTCCTTTTCTGTTGAGCAATTCTGTCTCTTTTTTTTCTCGATTTCTTGCTTATAAGTCTCATTAGTTGTTGGCAGTAGAGATCCAAATCTATGGATAAATTCTGTAGATGTATGTGTTGGTCTCTATATTGTCGCTTTTTCGTTTCATCGCGTACCTATCAAATAACAAATTTTTATAGAAGTTTTCACTTCAAAACTATCCAAAATCGGATCTCAATTGACAAGTAAAAAGTAAATAAGTATGCCATGCTATTGATTAAAACTACTTTTACGGAGTTTATCGCGTTTAATTTTAAATGATTTTTAATTCCCGACGTTTCGGGTGCTTTCCAGCACCGATGGTCACCGGGGACTGAGGTGACTTATATTGACATCGGGACGTCAGTCACCTCAGTCCCCGGTGACCATCGGTGCTGAAAATGACTGATATTGACATCGGGACGTCAGTCACCTCAGTCCCCGGTGACCATCGGTGCTGAAAATGACCGATATTGACATCAGGAGTAGTATAGTCCCGGTGACCATCGGTGCTGAGTTAGAGGATGGAGGTTTCCGGTGCTGAAAGCACCCGAAACGTCGGGAATTAAAAATCGTTTAAAATTAAATGCGATAAAATCTGTAAAAGTAGTTTTAATCAATGACTAGTGTTCGCGTAAATATAAGAAATCATTATGCTATAGCATAGCATAGCATAATGATTCCTTATATTTACGCTTTTTATTTCTTATATTTTTAAATATTAATTAGTTTTATCATGTGGGTGATGTTCTTTACATTGAATCTCATATCCATAAACCTAAACACAGCTGGGGTTGTACAGCTATTTGGCAATAGAAATAGGTGTACACATTCGAGTGAAATGAAATGAAAAGTTTTTTTTATAGAATGGAGGTGACAAACGAGCACACGGTCACCTGATTGTTGATGGATGCTGTGGCCCGTAGACATCTACATTTATCCTCGATTAAGAATCAAAACACAGATGCCTTGTCCCCCCTAAGGACTAAGATGTACCTCGTTTCCAGTAAAAAAAAGGGTCCGGATCTCTACACTCACCATATGAAACACAGCAGTATTAAGGTGCTATTTTATGCTGGTATTTTATGAGAGCGTGGAACTTCCTCGGTTGAGCCAACCCATTCGTGCTACAGCCATAAAATAGCTGCAGCGTGGCTCTGCCATGTATAAGATCTGCCAGCCTCTGTCTTTCCATCCGATTATAATGTGGGTATATTCAAAACAAGAGTGGATAGGCTTTTGCTAAGTCAGTGTGATTCACCATCTTCGGGTCATTATCCACCATCAGGTGGGATAGGAGTTAAACACTGGCTTAGAGTAGTAACGATAAAGGTGAGATCATAATCTCATCCCGGTCAATCCCAGATGATGGAACTGGGATTGACCCAGATGAGCTCCAAGGCAGAAAAAACCTCGACATCTAGTAATGTATTATATTAGTCAGATGGTAGTACAATAGTGAAACTAGATATCGTTTGTTTTTTGATTGATGGTAATGACTAGTATTCTAAAAATATTAGCCGAATGATATGCTAGAGTCACTGGGATTGTGTATTAAATTATATTGGGATTGTTTATATACATATTTAAGTAACGGACATTACAATGTAATACTTTACTTTAACCTTGTAGGGTGTTAAAATATCCACTACCCCATGGCATCCCGTGGATGTCGTAAGAGGCGACAGTGGGTAACAAACCAGATGGGCTGCAGCCTTTTCGTCATAACGACTGAAAATACAAAACTGTGGTTACCTATACGCTTGCCAACTATGAGGCAATCTATCGGGGAGGCTTATGTTAGTGGACTAGGCTGTAACGGTATGTACTACTTACAACTTATATGAATCTGGGTCTGAAATAAAAGCATTATTATTATTATTTAATAATAACTGTGGCCTGACCCAAAACATTTGCAGGTACGAACAAATGGCAGTGTCGGTCAGAGCGGGAAAGCGAGTGCCGCTCGCCGAGTGCAGAGTACACGAGCCACACCAGTGGAAGCTGCTTTGTGTTGAAGGTATAGTAAAATGTTAAATCACCTTTCATTTTTGAAGTAAACATTTCTTCTGAATCGTTGTGATTTGAAATTCCATGAAACTAAAAGGAGTCCTGTAGATGTATATGCAATTATGCATCTATAGAATTTAATTCATCCTACGAGAGAATGGGATAGAACATAGTGTTACGAGTTTGAGCTTCGAGACAATAAAAACTGCCGAGTGACTTACCAAAATTGACACTTTAATTACAGAACACTAATTACAAGTTTACCACCACCCTAATAACAAAACACAATTGTACTACTGATCACTTTAGTTCGCCGCTGAATCGCTTCGAAGTATTCGATTGTATCGCCAATTCAATACTGATCCGGGTCGCGGTATATACCGGCCTTATATAGACCCTCAGATAGTTACAGAACATTCTACTGTAGAAACATCTAGAATGTTCGAGTACATACCGGTCCCGACTGACTAGGTATCGACAGTTCTAGAAAGTTCTAGCATGGAAATTTGTAGAAGGATCTTGACTACTAGTTCTACTACTCGATACTAGAAGGCGCTAGTGGTAACTTGTGTCGCCATGTACCAGGCATTAATTGTATCACGCAACAATAGTATACAGTATTTCCTATTATATCGGTATCCATTTTGTGAGGTGTATCCTCTCCACTCTTGTCTAATCGCGTGTGAATTGCATGCTTCTTTTATAGATATAGGGTGACAAACAAACACACAGTCACATCTGATGGTAAATGGATAATGTGGCTCTTCATTTACATCTATACTCGGTTAATAAAAAATTGCAGATGCGTTGTGAGGGCTAAGAAGGAATGCCTCGTTTCGAATAAAAAGTGTCTCAGGCTCTCTACACTAAATATATGAAACGCAGCAGCATTAAGCTACTGTTTTATTCTGTGTTTATTTTATTGTATTTATATCGTAATATAATACACTGTGACATTTATGCTACATACAATTTTTTTTGGTCTGATTAAATTTAGTACTTACTCCTTAATCTAGGTCTGTACGTTTTTATTTTTTAGACATTCAGTTCATCATAACGACGACGAATTGGCAATTACTCTTATCTCAATTTTTGAGATTTTTTTTATTCCATAGTTATACTTAAAATTACCTAATTCAGATCCTCATGAAGACACCAGGTCTTTAGGGTCAAAATTATAGATATAGATATTGAGGTGTGGCAATACCTTCTAAGTTATTCTAAAAAAAATTGCTGGCAATTTATCCTATCTAAGCTGTGGCACGTCCGTTTCATGGTGATCGCGCGACTCATCGAACAGGTTGAAGTTAGTTGTGCATGGGATGAAAATCTATCTAGAATCAATTAGATTTAATAGGAGCTGATATTGAACCTTATCTTATGTTTAACTCATCTAGTTCAAGTGTTCTTGAATGTAATGATTTAGGTAGTTTCTCGCAAATAAATCCCTATGTTGAACTAACTAATGCTTCCCTTCATCCACAATCACTAGCTGCTCGGAGCTCCTATTTAGCTGATGATGACACAATATCAATATACAAAAATAGCTCACATCACACAACTGGCAGTACAGCAACCGTTTAACCAAATCTTGGTCGCTTTCTAATTTGACGGATGATACCGTGAACCCCTTCAGCAGCTTGAAAAAAACGGTGTCATTTTCTCTGCTGAAGCAGAATTTTGAAGCTGTCTATTCTCATCTTGATAACCCTTCACTATGGAGAACCTTTCATAATGACTCAGCAAGTCTTAGTGGTATAATGATTTTGACACAGAAACCGACATTGATACAGATACAGATATTGAGGATATCAACGAGGGTAGGAAGCGTCGCCACAAGGCCTTGCCAAATACATCGAAGAGAAACAAAGCCAAATTACGTAGGATGCAAGGAGAGCAGTACTTAGGATATTCAAAACCAGCAAATAGAAAATTTTTACAGGATACTTTAAGATCTGCTCGAATAATGGGAGAACGATGCAAGTCTGATTATTGTGTTAAAAGTAAGTCAAGAGAGTGTTCTAAAATAAGTGAAGACTGTAGAAAACAAATACACAGAGATTCCTTTGGAAGCAAGTGAATTGGGATCAACGCCAAATCTATGTTAACTCATTAGTGAAACGCTCAAAAACTGCACAAAAAACAACAAACAATTCCAGGCGTACAGAAACTGCATTATATTTTTTGCCTATCAATAGTGACGGATCAGATAAAGTACAAGTGTGTAGAACTATGTTCCTTAACACGCTTTCGCTGGTAACTTTTATTGTACATATTGGACAAAAAAGTCCGCAATCCTACATCAAGATCCGATAATACGCAAAAGTTATTGACGTTAAACAACTTTCTAGATAATATTCCGAAATTATTATCACATTATGCTCGAAAAGATACTACTAAGTTGTTTTTAGAACCGTAATTCTAATCTTTCGCAGATATTTATAGAATGTACAAAAAATACTGTTCCGAAAATGAAGAACCGTCTGTTTGGAGATATACTTTTGAACAACAATTTAAAGCAAAAAATTTATCATTGTACACTCTTAAAAAAGATATATGTGACATTTGTACTAGTTACGCAGCAGGCTATTTGAGCGAGGCTGATTATCAAATGCATATTATAAAAAAGGATAGAGCTAGACAAGCTGCTGACGAGGAATTTATTTTACTGAGCATGTATTTGGAATCTGTAAAGGTTTGTCCCTTTTTAACCGCTAGTGCGTTATACTTTAAAACGAAATTAATAGTTCATAACATCACAGTGTTCAGTTTAATTAGTACACATTGCACTTGCTATTGGTTTGATGAAACATCGGCAGACTTAATTGCATGTACATTTGTGTCATTTTTAGTCGATAATATCGAAAGACATTGCGTTCACCAACTTCTACTGATCGTAATTTATTCAGATGGGTGTACGTGTCAAAATCGTAATACTATTATGTCAAATGCCCTGCTGTTTCTAAGTAAAAAGTACAATAATATAACTATAACTCAAAAGTTTCTAGAACCAGGACATTCGCAAATGGAGTGCGATTCCGTCCATGCGGCAATCGAACGAAAACTCAAAAATCGAGAAATTCACTTACCAAGCGATTACAGTACGAGGGGTGATCCAAAAGTAATGATAATGAAAATAAAGCACGGTAATTAAAGTTAAAATAATAATTTATTTTTCTACATAGTCTCCTAACAAATCAATACATTTAGTCCATCTTTTTTCTAAACCCAGGATTCCCTTTGAAAAAAATTCTTTGTCTTGATCCTCCCAAAACGCTTCAACAGCGGCCTATATTACTTCGCTATCGTCTTCGAATTTCTTGCCTCGGAGGCGTTCCTTGAGCCGAGGAAAGAGGTAGAAGTCACTAGGAGCTAGATCTGGCGAATAGGGAGGGTGTTCGAGCAGTTCGAATCCCGTTTCTTGAATGGCAGCCATCGCAACTGCGGCTTTGTAAGCCGGTGCGTTGTCTTGGTGAAACAGCACTCCAGCTCGCAGTTTGCCGCGTCTACTTATTTGGTCTACTTATTTGGTCTGCGTAGTAAGAGCCCGTAATAGTGGCTCCCTTTTCCAAATATTCCACCATAATTATGCCTTGAGCGTCCCAAAAAACAGATGCCATAACCTTTCCCGTCGAACTTGAAACTTTGAATTTCTTTGGCGTCGGTGAGGAGGCTCGCTTCCGAGTCATCGATTATTTTTTCGTTTCAGCATCAAAATGGTGGATCCAGGTCTCGTCCATAGTCACAAATCGGAACAAAAAATTTTCTTGATCTGCTTGGTACTTTTCGATTCAAACTTCGAGATTGACCCTCAAAATGTCAACTCGATTTTTCTTTTGCTCGTCGGTTAACATTCTGGGTACCCAACGCGCAGAGACCTTTTTCATATGCAACTCGTTCGCAAGGATTCTTTGAACGCTGCCATATGAGATCCCTGTGACCTCAGCTACATGCCTGATGGTCACTCTTCGATCTGCCAACACAACATCTTCGACTTTTTTCACGTTGTCTTCAGTGAGGGACGTGGATGGGCGTCCTTTGCGATGTTCATCTTCAGTGGATGTTCTGCCCAGTTTAAACTCCTTGGCCCAGCGTGCAACTGTAGAATATGGAGGAGCAGAGTCCCCCAATGTTTCCACTAAGTCACTGTGTATGTCTTGAAGAAATCGTTTTCAAACAGAGGTACTTGATGACAGCTCTAATTTCGTTTTTCTCCATGTTGATGTTATCTCTTTCTCAGTTCGTATTCAAATGAATGTATCTCTCGGAAATCGTGATCTATTTATATGATTTTTTAGGCTGACGTAGTGAGTATATAAGCAAGCAAGAATTTTTTTTTTTGGTTTTTTTGCGGTCCTTAAGTAACCGATTATCATTACTTTTGGATCACCCCTCGTACAATTACAAAGGAAGCACACAGGATAAATCCTTATGGAGTTATACAAGTTGACTACAAGTTTGTAAAAAACTACTGAAAATTGGTATTACAAAAGTATAAGACCTGGGCGGTAGGGCTGGCAATCCACAAGTAGTAGACATAAGAGCCATAAAATACAACACAATGACAGATGAAGTAAAGCTCAACTTTGATGTAGATTGGACTTCTCTTCCACAGAGACCCAAGACTATAAGTTCCGAAATAGTGCATCGTCATATGTATTCGAATAGAATTCAAATAAAAGCTACAAAATTCAATCATCTTCAGCAATTAAAGGCAGTACTTCCTAACGAATGTAATTGCACTATTTTATGCCATGATGTAGTAGGTGGCTGTAACAATTATGTTCCCTGTGTTTTGTTTCTTTAATTACAATTTATGTTTGTAAAAGTTTTATGATTGTTATGAATGCAAAATTTTTTTGTTTACAAATGTTACGAGGTATAACTAATGTTAATTTGTATTTTAGTAGGTACCTAGTTAAGTTCTTAGACATTTGTCATATTTTACTAATTTTGTAGACGGGTATTAGTTCTATAAGCGAATACTTCTACTTTTGTTTTAGTTAGGTA